TGAATGGATGGAGTAATGTACCCTTCGACTGACTTCATTTACCTGAGCATTCCACGATAAATTCGAGTCAATGAGTACACCTAAGTTTTTAGCGCGATCGGTAAATGGAATCGCTGTACCATTCAAACGCAATGGACCGAGGCCAGAGACGTCGAGATTGTTACGATAATATCTACTACCGATGATCATGGCCTGAGACTTCAGAGGGTTGATTTGCAAGCCAAAAGATCTGGCCCACTCAGCAACACCATCCAAGTCACGATTCATGGCATCGATAGCAGAATGAGCTTCAGACATGCCGAAGTGACGGTACAGCTGCAAATCGTCCGCATAGAGATGAAAATTAGAAGAAATGACCCTGGCAACGGTATTTATAAAGATGGAGAAAAGCAGAGGAGAAAGGACGCCACCCTGGGGAACACCAGCCGCAAGGTCGCACCAATCGGATAAGGTTTCCTCTAAGCGGACCCGCTGACGGCGACCCCGAAGATAAGATTCAAACCAAGCTAGAGAAGAAACAGAAAAATTATTGGCCTTTAGGACCCCCAACAGTATGTCAAAATCCACAGAGTTGAAGGCAGAACTGAAGTCCAAGAGCACAAGAATAGTAAGAGACTTGTTGTCCATGGCCCAGCGTATGTCATCGGTTACTTTGAGCAGAGCCGTGACAGTGCTATGGCCAGGGCGAAATCCAGATTGATAAGAAGAGATTAGGTTGCTAGATGTTAAGTAAGAAGTTAACTGCCTGTAAACAATATGTTCCATAACTTTAGACAGGTAAGGCAGTATGGAAATGGGTCGATAGTGAGAAAGAGATGAAGGATTGTTGATTTTATTAAAGGAATAACATGGGGATTGTGAGGTTTCAGTGATAAAAATATCCTATGTTTGCAAATCAATGTTGTACGATTACCTACGTTTAAAAGATAGTGAGTCTCGGGATTTTAACGCATAATATTCCCGTTGCTGTAGGATTTCCGGAATAAACATTATTATATAATATGATCTGTCTTTTTTTCTATTAATTAGGAAGCTGTTGGTAGTATTCTATAGGCTATCGAACAAAACTCCCAAATTGGGCAAACAATAATAATAATATGTGTAATACCAAACCATCTTCTCCGTAGTCTCAAATTATTAGATTTAAAAGAAATATTTTACATAACTCTCAAAAAAGCGGCATTCCTAAACAGCGCCGTAAATAGGGCGGTGCCAGCGGTGCCCAGGCACAGGGCGCAGACCCTGGAGGGGCGCAGAAATGACAGACTGTACTATCTAAATCAGTATTGCATTTTTAAAGGATCTTGAAACAACAACACATGTCAAACGACTCACTACACATCAGACAAATGTATATCCATCTTAAGTCTTGCTCGCAATATTACATACACAAACAAAAGTACCTATACTATAACTTTGGGCGTCTGTGCCCGCGGCGCCTGCGCCCGCGGGGCGAAACAAAAAAAGGAGAGGCACTCCATCCCGGCAGGCTGGAGTTGCAGCAGCGGCGGTGGAACCCGCCCCGTGAGCGGAGCACTGCGGTGGGTGGCAAATCGCTGGTGAGGCGAGGAGAGTCGCCAAGGAGGACCGTAAGCGCCGCAAGAAGGCGCAGCGGCAGCGACGGCAGCAGTAGCGCAGGGAGAAACGGCCTGCTGCCTTGCTCCTCGCCCCTAGGACCGCGGCTGTATTAATTACGTCATGGAGGAGGTGGAGACGTACTCCGACCACCGGTATATCCGGTTCGACGCCTCCGCCGAGTCCGTGGACCCGCTGGTCAGACAGGCCCCATGTGGCCCGCGTTGGGCGCTGAAACAGCTGGACCGGGAGCTGCTCCTGGAAGCCGCTATCGTGCAGGCCTGGGTGATACCACCGGTCAGGCCTGCCGACATTGACGATGAGGCCAAGTGGTTCCAGGATTTGTGACGTGGCGATGCCCCGGATCCGATCGAGGCAACAAAAGTGCCAGGTGTACTGGTGGTCGCAAGAGCTGGCAGCTCTACGCCAGGCGTGCACTGCTGCGTGACGCCAGTACACTAGGCACAGCAGGCGCCGCATCCGTCCTCCGAATGCGGAGGCGAGAGAGGCGGAGTTGTACGAGGGATACAGGGTGGCGAAGGCAATCCTTAAGGCGGAAATACTGCGGACCAAGGAGGAGGCCGGCCGAGAGATGCTGGGGACTCTGAACAGAGACCCGTGGGGACGCCCGTACCGGATGGTACGCGACAAGTTCCGCGCTTGGGCTCCCCCACTCACTCAGAGTCTCCGGCCAGAAGTCTCAGAGGAGGTGATTGGCGCCCTGTCCCCCCGACTGTGGAGGGGCTTCACCCCTCCGTATATGACCCCTGCGGTGCCCGACGCGGGCTATAGCGACGACGACGACGACATCGTCTCAGAGGTGACCGACGCAGAACTAAGAGCGGCGGTGCGCCGGATGGGCGCCAAGAACACCGCTCCAGGACCCGATGGCTTGCATGACAAAGCATGGGTCCTGGCCTCAGAGGCTCTCGGGCCTCGATTAATCGGTCTCTACAGCGTATGCTTGGAGAGAGGCCAGTTCCCGCTGCTCTGGAAAGCGGGTGAACTGGTCCTCGTGCGGAAGACGGGGCGCCCTGCGGACTCTCCGTCCGCGTACCGGCCTATAGTGCTGCTCGACGAGGTGGGGAAAATCTTCGAAAGAATAATTTCAAACCGCCTCGTCGCGCACTTGACGGACATTGGGCCGGACCTGTCGGACGGCCAGTTCGGCTTCCGCAGAGGGCGCTCCACGGAGGACGCCATCATGCGCATTAGGGACCGGACGACGGGGACTGCAGTGTCCAGGGGTAAGGTCGTTGTTGCGGTGTCTCTGGACATCGCCAACGCCTTCAACTCCCTGCCCTGGAGCTGCATCTTGAAGGCACTCCGATATCATCGAGGCTTACCTGACGGACAGGTCCGTCATTTACCCCGGTCACCGGGGCGAGTGGAACCGGCGAGAGATGTCAAAGTTGGAGAGGACGGGGGCTGCGGTTAAGCGCATCCTCCCCAACCTCGGGGGCCAAACGCCTCCTGCCGGAGGTTATACGCCGGGGTCGTGCGGTCCATGGCCCTCTACGGCGCCCCTGTGTGAGCACCGCACTTGATGCGGCTCATGTCACAGAGGGCCATGGCGATCCGAATGATCCGCCATTCCGAACCTCCTTGCCGGATTACCGTGGGATCTGGAGGCGAAGGTGCTCGCGTGCGTGTATCGCATGCGCGCGGAGGCACGTCGCCGGGGCGAAACTCCGTTGCCGCACCAGATAAGTGCGTGGCGGGAAGAGCTCCGGCGCGATCTCATGGCGGAATGGCAGCAACGAATTGTCTTAAAACACTAAGTACCGACCTATAACTTGGTACACAATAAAAACAGTTATAATTTCATGCACATTTTTCTATTTTATTGTCAGAGCCTGGTAAGGATTTTTCAAGGGCGCAGTTTTGAAAGCTCGCACCGGGCGCCTAGAAGGCTAGTTACGGCACTGTTCCTAAATACCTGTAGAATCGTCAGAAAGTTCACTATCGAGAATTAATAATAATAACGAATATAATTATTATTTCTATAACGTAACGTAAATTCAAGACCAAACGTACGATATTATATGACTCGACTTACATGTAAATATAAAACCGTGTTGTTACGTACTTTATTAATTATTTATCAATTTGAATATAACTACGGGCAACGGCTGACTCATTTTATGATTATTCTTATTCTATTTCACGCTCAAATAACAGAATGACTATTAAAACAAAGGAAAATGTCGAGTAAACAATTAATGTTACTTACTTTTGTTGAATTTGGGAAGATACAAAGTCCAATGGGTCAGCTGGTTATTGATAAATATGTATGTGTATTGTGTATACTAGCGGACCCGACAGACGTTGTCCTGCATATCCACTTGAATGTATAAACAAAAATTCATTCAAATTACTTCAGCAGTTTAGGATAACTAACCTAGGTGGAGAACCTAACGGGTAACTGGGGCTCCGGCTCGACGTGCAGGAGAAGGAACGGGGTGGTTTTTAGTCAGTAAGAGTCTGACACTTCCTCCCGCCTCACCCAGGCGGTTGAGTCATTCGATGATTTTCCCCCCTTAAAAAAAGACACGACTGCAGCGCCGTCTGCCGGGCTGATTTGTAAATCTAAACCATCCAGGGCGCCACTCAAACGCGTTCAGAAAAATTCATATAAATTGGTGAAGCCGTTTAGGAGGAGTTGAATAACAATTATATATATAAAGATAAATAAGTATGTACGTACCTATTTACGAGTATACTTATGTCTTTTTGCGATTAGAGAGTGCTGCTTATTTATCTCCGTACAATGTCTAATGTGTTGGTATAGTATAGATAAGAGATCCTAATGCCTTGTTCGCACGACGCTAGTAATTTAGTCGAGTTAGGAATATTTAGTAGTTCACTCTCGCTTCCATTTTGGAACAGAAGCGAGAGAGGACTACTGAATATTCGCTACTCGACTAAAATACTAGCGTAGTGTGAACAAGGCATAAGTTACAGTAGTCGTGAAATGTGAAGTGGACTTGTCCTATAATAATTTTCATAATTTCATTGCACGGAGTCTGGAATTGTGCCTGGTATATGGCAATAGGCTCCCCTCACCCCCTATTATATGGGACTCATAACATAAATAGTGAAAAGTGGGTGTACCATTGTAAAGTGGTATAATGTGCACTTCTGCCTACCCCTTCGGGGATAAAAGGCGTGATGTTATGTTATGTCAACTTTTTTGATGTCGGTTAAAAATGGTTGGTCCCGCAAATTAGTTCTTATAAAAAACCATTTACACTTTTGGCGTAGTATATTCCAGTTTCAATTTCCATACTCTACTAGTCCTCTTGACTAGTAATGATTGTACTTAGTGATCGTATATCTCAAGCCACTTGATACACATACGCAAGAGGGCGCTACAAAAAAAAAATTTAAGTAGTTATGTATGTTTGTTGTATTCAATGTTTCAGACCGGCCCTGTGCAGTAAGGCACGTGAAGAGCGGGCAGGTGTGTGTGTGCACAGCAGAGTACTGCGACACCATCACTAGAAAATCTCCAGAGAGTGGAACCTTCGTGTCCTATGTATCTTCTGAGGTATTTATTTTTACCGACTTCAAAAAAAGGAGGAGGTACTATGTTCGGCTGATTGTTTTTTTTTTTTTTTTTTTTTTTTTTGTTTGTTCGCGCAGTACTCCGCCGTTTGTGGACCGATTTCGAAAATTTTTGTTTCGTTTGAAAGGGTATACTCCCGAGATGGTCCCATTTCCATGAAGTCAGGATCTGATGATGGGATCCTAGGGAAACCGAGGGGAACTTTCGAAAATTCTATGGGGGAGTAATGCGTCTATTATGTTTTTCAATTACGGATTTTAAACACTACAATTTAATAAGGGTCTGGAGTCGACCTGATGATGGAGTCGACAGACAGTCGAGGGAACTCCTCGGTGGTTTATATTAACTACCTTGTGTTTGGGCTTAATTAATTTGTATTGATGAGGACTTTACACCTAGATAGAGTGGGGCTGTCATTCAGGGTCTGATGATGAAGAAGTGTAATTGTTAAGGGAACTCCTCAACGGTATACAGTAACTACCTTGAGTTTGGGCTTGATTAATTTGTATTGATGAGGACTTTACACCTAGATAGAGTGGGGCTGTCATTAAGGGTCTGATGATGAAGAAGTGTAATTGTTAAGGGAACTCCTCAACGGTATACAGTAACTACCTTGAGTTTGGGCTTGATTAATTTGTATTGATGAGGACTTTGCACCTATGTATATTATAAGTAACAAAACGGGTATATGTAGCTTTACACTGAAAATGGTAAAATAATAAAATAAAAACTGCGTTTAAAAAACCGACTTCAAAAACCAAAAACTAATAACAAACAAAAAGTCAATACTAAAAAGCAAAAAATAACTATTATTAGTACTGATAGGTTACCCACCCACTGATAGGTTAGAAGTCGGTGCCATAAGCTCATATCATAATGATATAACTTAATGTCCACAAAATTGTGAATTAGATACCTATTAAGGTTTTAATGAATAATTTTGTATGGAACTTATTATATATATATATATATATAGTTTTATGCTTAGTAAGGATTTATCAACAGTGCGTTAAGGTTTTATTGATTTTTTTACAATGTGACACCTGACATTTCAGTACAACATTTATACATATAACGGTTCTATTCATACCATTTTCGATAACCAAATCTAACACCAAAGTTTATCATATAACTCTATATGCGCACATCTTCAACTTGCGTTCATTTAATTTTCAGGAGGGACTTCGATTCCATAAGACTGTGGGATCGATGACAAAATATACAAAAGGTAAAAGTCTTATAATAAATTTACTTAAAATACCGAGATAAGTATTATTTTAGACGTCAAATTAGGTAATTTCTAATACCTAAGTAATTCTAAATGCAGGTAGTACCTACAAGAATGTTCTGGAATTAGACGTGGGGACGCAATATCAGACGGTGAATGGTTTCGGAGGCGCCGTCACCGATGCAGCCAGCATCAACTGGAAGAACTTGACTGATCATCGACTGATGGACCATTTAATAGAGTAAGACGTTATAGACTATTATTAAAACTAGCTACTTCCGCGTGGTGTCACTCGCTCTGCTCGGCGCCTATTAATCGTAGCGTGATATTTTATAGCCTATAGCCTTCCTCGATAAATGGGCTATCCAACACAGAAAGAATTTTTCAAATCGGACCAGTAGTTTCGGAGGATAGCGCGTTCAAACAAACAAATAAACAAACTCTTCAGCTTTATAATATTAGTGTAGATAAACATCAATATGAGTACATTTTTATAGGTTAACTAGTTGACCCGGCAAATTTCCTACTGCCTCAATTTTTTTTCTCACCTTTTAAACCTACCCTGGACTTCCACGAACATTAATATCAAGGCCAAAATTAACTAAATCGGTTCAGCCATTCTAGAGTTTTAGCGAGACTAACGAACAGATATTATTTTTTATTTAAATAGAAGATAAATATATCAGCCTTTAACTGTCCTATACTGCTGTTCCAAAATATTCTATTCTCATAGAGAAAAGCAAAAGACATTGATCACGATGTTCGCTCAAGATTGACTGTTTCCAATTATAAGATTTCATATTTTCATCATTAATTGTGCATTCAAAGCCGTCTTTTGTTTTGTAACGTAATAAAATGTGATAAAAGAAATCTATCAAATAGTTTTGAACACTTCCAGGTCGTACTGTGGTGATTCAGGAATTCAATACAACATGCTGCGTGTCCCAATCGGTGGAACTGACTTCTCTACACACGGGTACGCGTACAACGAACTCCCTGAAAACGATGTGACGTTGAGCAACTTTACATTGGCTTATGAAGATTATGAGTATAAGGTAAAAAAACATGCTAAGTCAACTTATGGTGTACTAAGAAAGTCCTATGCCCGGCAGTAGATGGAAACAGTCTATTGATTACCATTATGAAAATGCGTTTGGTAGATAAAAACGTAATGTTTGAAATAAGTTTGCATAATTGTTGGAAGAGTCTTATGCTTTTGATAAGGGTATTAAACTGTCAAACACCAAGCGGTCACCGGTGACCGCGACCTATTGATTTATTTATTTATTTTTATTTATTTTTTAACAGTCACAACGGCATAAAAATCCAATAACAGTAACTGATACAACAATAAAACACAAACAAAAGAAAAGTAAAACTTAGTTAAAACAAGGGTTAACACCATTCATGAGTTTCTCTCGCAGTACTTCAAGCATTCTGATAAAATCTCCTTCCGTCCGCAAACAGTCTTTGATCTTTAATTGTGTCTATAAAACCGGTACTCGACGGATTTAATTGCTATAAAAATAAACAATTTATTCACCATATACGTTCAGAAACACTAACAAAAATTTATTTCGCTCAAGTCTGAAAAAAAAATCAATTTATACAAAAATATTTATCATAATCGATTGGGTCTACCACAGGGCTCTGCAATGGGTCCATTATGAATTGTGAGTATGAAATTTAAAATACTTTGTCTCTTCTCCAGATTCCGATGATAAAAGCATGTATGAAGGCAGCTAGTGCTCCCATCCATATAGTGTCAGCGACCTGGTCTCCTCCGATATGGATGAAGACCAACGACGCATACTCAGGGCACAGCAAGCTGCGGAAAGAATATCGACAGACTTATGCTGATTACCATTACAAGTGAGTATTTTTAAGCTGAAAATATGAGGTTATTTTAAGGTATACTTAAGGCTTACATTCCCGTAAATCGCGATTACATACAATTTACAATTGTTCTTTTTCAGGTTCTTAGAGCACTATGCAGCCGAAGGTATTCCAGTGTGGGGAATGTCTATTTCAAATGAGCCCCTACACTCCAGTGTGAACTACATCCCCGCTAAAATCAACAACATGGGCTGGACTCTAGATGAAATGGTAGTACTTCACTGCATTGCATTGCATGCAACTATACTTCCGAGCTAGTAGTACACGAAATCCGCAAAGTCTGGTAGTGGTTGGATGCGTATAGCTGAAGATCGAGTTGAATGGCGTGCCTTTGGAGAGGCTTATCTCCAGCAGTGGACGAGAATCGGCTGTAAAAATGATGACTAAACTAAATACCTACATGTATAGAAAATGTACCTAGGTACATTTCACTGGTATTTTATTATTTAGGTACTCAGAAATGCACATTAAGCTTTCTATAGATCAAAACTTTGTAAGCAGTAGGAAAAATAATTTTGGTCTCCTTTTAACTCGGTCTTGTGTTATTCTTCATTATATTGCATTGAATTGTTTAACACTTATTTTCAGAGCGAATACATAATGAAGAACTTGGGCCCCACTCTCCGAGGTAACCACTCTAACTTCAAACATGTGAAGATCATCGCTGGTGATGACTTGCGTTTCACCATCACTCTGTTCTGGAACACCGTAAGTTTGGACATAATTATGATCTGAAACGTTTTTAGAACGAAATATTTATTCTGAAGATGTGTTGCATGGCATGGAGCTAATTGCCAGTGAAGACTAAGCTCTCTTCATTAAAATACTATATAAAATACGCTTACTATAATAATACGCTTACTACACTAGAAATAAATCTATCTATCGAACGACTCAGTCTGTGGTTCATTCACAGATTATTCTTCACTATAATTCATCAGCTCTATTTGTCAAATGGATGGTGGTGTGCTATTCATTAATGAAAAAGTCCCGTCATGATAATGATTGAGACGTTTATTTATTTATTCGTACATGTTAAATAAATAATATTTTTCTACAGTTTGTAGCCGTCTACCCAGAGACCTTGGAGTATTTGGATGGTGCAGCTGTGCACTACTACATGAGCGCCTATGTTCCAGCTGCGATATTGTCGCAAGCGATGGAAGGATACCCAGGGAAGTTTGTCCTGGCTACAGAAATATGTGCAGGTACATTAAGGTTTGTTAATAAAACAACACAATGTCTTTGAATCCCTAAAAGGGTGGGATTAATATAAGTTATAAGTTCTAAATAGAGATAGACTGCCTCAGCTGCCTGCCGAGTGGTCGCAAGTGCGACTGTCGGGAAAGGGCTCTTGGGTTGGTAAATAGAGGCGGGTGAGCCTGTTGCTATATATCGGGTACTATTGTTTTCACATGTCACATTTTCGAAAAACCGATACACCCGAATATTACTTTATTCGACCCAAGTGGGAGTCGAATTGTATATTACACTAAATTAAGTTAGATTTTTAGATTCGATATATACTTGCATTTTATTGTGGAAATATTGTAATTTGTTGAATTAATGTTCACAGGTGCTCTACCAAGTGACGCAGTCAAAGTTGACATAGGATCGTGGAGCAGAGCACAGCTGTACGTTAATGATATAATGCAGGTATTAACTCATACATAAAACAAAAAAACATAACATCACGCCTTTTATCCCCGAAGGGGTAGGCAGAGGTGTACATTATGCCACTTTACAATGTAACACCCACTTTTCACTATTTATGTAATGAGTCCCATGTAATAGGGGGTGAGCCTATTGCCATATACCGGGCACAATTCCAGACTCCGTGCTACTACTGAGAATTTATAAAAATCCAGTAGTACTTCGCCCGACCCGGGACTCGAACCCGAGATCCCTTGACCGGCAGTCGCACTTGCAACCACTCGGCCAACGAGGCAGTCTACATATTTTATATATGTTCATAGCATGACTATATTAACAAGGCAAATGCGTGTTTCAAAAGTATTATATACTAGCTACTTCCGTGCAGTTTCACACGCTCTGCTCACCTCCTATTGGTCGTAGCGTGATGTTTTATAGCCTATAAGTCATCCTCGATAAATACACTATCCAACACAAAAAGAATTATTCAAATCAGACTTGTAGTTACAGAGATTAGCGCGTTCAAACAAACAAACAAAAAAACAAACTCTTCCGCTTTATTAGTATAAGAGTATAAGATTCACGATGATATTTTTCACTTCATATCTTGAGAAAATAGTGGTTTTGATAAGTTGATTTGTTTAATCTATCAATTTTTCATAGGATTTTATTTTTCACAGAATCTTGATAATAATGTTATAGGTTGGCTGGATTGGAACATGTGTCTAAATACTGAAGGGAAGCCCAGCTATATAGACTCCAGCGTGGACTCCCCAATACTGGTCAATGCAGAGGACGGAGAGTTCTACAAGCAGCCGATGTTCTACGCTATCGGACACTTCTCCAAGTTTGTTCCACGAGGATCTAGAAGGATTAAAGTAAATGTTGATTGTGGTACGAAAATTCAGAACATTGCCTTCCTGACACCTCATAACACCGTCGTTGTTGTTATACATAATGAGTAAGTACAAATGTTACAGCTACAAACTATTGTTACACATGCCAATTTCAAGTACGAAAGCATGCGTAAATTGGAAATTTGCCAACTAGTCAAAAACGACAGTTTTCTATAATTTTTTACCAAATCGTGTATTGTGACGTCACATTTTTTCAGCGTCGAACAGCATACTTATTTCTTAAAAAAATGCTAAAAAATTATTAAAATTAAGTTGGTCATAAAATCAATTAATGGTAGTGTGATTATTTTTTAATATTTTATTGTATTGAACAGCCGAAATATTTTATTTTTGATTAAGGAAAGTACCCAATTGTGCACTTGTCAATTAATAGTATGTGTGTCGGAATAATGCTTAAAATTAGCATGCTCATTTCGGGCGTGCTTGCAAATCGACAGGCGTTCGATTTTTGAAAATTTTTAGCATGTTCAATAGGACGATGCCTTTTGGCACGCTATTTTATTAGAGTGTAACAGTTTCCTTTATTTTTATTTTTTAGTATATTTTGGGCTGTATCGTCCACTTTGCGTGTGTGAATTTTCACTATGCTCCATTATTTTTGCTCCATTTAAGAAAAGACTTTCTTTTTCAGAGGTCCAAATGAAACCGTCAGATTGCGGTTAGGAGATGAAGAGGCACAGCTATTGATTAACGCCAACAGTATTACGACAGTTGAGATGTTGAATAAGTATGACATAGAAATGAATGTAGATGATTAGATCTTATTGAGGATACCACGAATAAGTTCATAAAGGTTGTTCACACCGTGACGCGACGCGACGATATTGGAAAAGGCCAATCATGTCACGCTACACCGCGAGAAGTCTTGCAACGTCGCGTCGTTGCGAGTTGCAGCGCTACGTGGTGCAACGTGTTCTGAAATTTCACAATGGAATGTGTATCTTTTCGTGTAGATAATAAAGTTGTTTTTTGAGTCGCTCTGTTAAAATGTACGCGTAACGTTACGTCTCGGTGTGAATTGACCTTAAGGTGTGTGACTACTGACCGGTTTTACAGGCTGTAATGTATGTACAGTGGCCAGCAAGTTAATGTATTCTTTTCCGTCTTTATTTACTACATTTTCTACGTTTTGGTTTTGATGTAAAGTCGAAAATCCGATGAAGAAGCTTTCAAATTGCAGTAGGTTGACCTGCTGGCCACTGAGTTTATTTACAGCGAGCGGAGTACAGCACTCGCAACTGGCAACATGCCGTTCGATGCAAGCACCGTGTTTCCCCGTACTGACTACAAGAATGCTCGCTGTGTAACACGTTACAATACGTAACATTCGTCAGTAGGAACCCAGCTTAATATTAAGATTAGTAATGGACTTTGTTATTAAAAATCCACCGTAAATAAATTCTAAGTAGAGATACATATTTGTTTGATTTTGGCCTTACAAGTTATTTGTTTTAACTCCTGTTATAAATAATTTTGGCCCGTAAGCTTCATACATAACAGATAAAGACACTGTTCTGTTCTTTCCCGTTTCCGTGGAAAATTGTAGAAAATCGATCGATAATGATGGCATTGTAGGCATCTAGTATCTAGAATGTTGGCAAGTAGTAGACCTACTTCAGAGAATAACAGGCTAATGGTATCTAAGAAATCGCTATCAGTTTTCATAAGTAACATAATTATAAATTAATTGAACAATAAGCCACTTCTTTTAAACATACAAAGTTTGTTATTCTTTGAAAGTGATACAATTTGTACTGGGATAAGATAAAGTAATAAAATAACAGTAAGTTATTTGTATGTGTTAACAAAATATACAATGTATTATTTACTTTGAGTTATCTACTCTAGTAAAGCTAAAAAATGTTACGCCGAATAATATAGAGCAGCAAAACAGGAAAAAACATTTATTTGCGGACCCCGCGAACTTAGTTTCGCCTTAGAATAGAATATAGAATAGAATATAACTTTATTGTACACCATTAATAATACAGTACATACAGAAAAGGAAATGACAAATATAAATAAAAATAATAATGGGCACAAAGGCGGTCTTATCACTTATAGTGATTTCTACCAGACAACCTTTGGGTGGATATAGTGAAAAGAAATATTTAGACGGGTTGTGTACTAAGAAAAAAAATAAATAAATAACGTAGTAATAATATATACATACATGTACATATACATACACATAAACATGCATACATATACACATACATACATACATACATGCATACATATACACATACATACACACGCCTTACATTGTTTTCTTACATAAAACTACTCCAATCAATAACAAACCATCTCACATCTCGAGATTTGCACTTGGCAACACAGCCAGTGATTCATTTTTATATTATAAATTAATTAATATATACAATGCAGAGTCTATCTGCCTTATCAAATGGCGAAGGCTGAAAAAAGTATGATGTTTTGTATGAGGCATACAAATTATTATAACAACTACTTAGTTATTCCCATGCGGGTCCACCCTCTATGCTCGGCTCCTATTGATCGTAGCATGATGTTTTATAGCCTTCCTAGTTAAAGATGCAATCCAATACAAAAAGCATTATTCAATTTTAACCAGTTATTTTCCAGATATTAGTGAGTTCAAACAAAGAAACCAACCTTCAATCATTAATCATTCTTAATTTTCTCACCATTATTTAGGTACTGCATGCTTTCTTTATTACCGATGTCAGATATATTATGTGTATATGATTGACTGCCTCGTTGGCCAAGTGGTCGCAAGTGCGACTGCCGGGGCAAGGGGTCTCGGGTTCGATTCCTGGGTCGAGCAAAGTATTACCGGGTTTTTAAAAAATTCTCAGTAGTAGCACGGAGTCTGGAATTGTGCCCGGTATATGGCAATAGGCTCACCCCCTATTACATGGGACTCATAAACAGCTAAAAGTGGGTGTTACATTGTACAGTGGCATAATGTGCACCTCTGCCGACCCCTTCGGGGATAAAAGGCGTGATGTTATGTATGATATGATAGTAGTAGTGTAGTCAGCACTAGTGCTAGTTGGCCGGACATAGAAGTCGGACACAGGTCGTTGTCCGGCGACACACATTACATCAATTTGACCAACACCCCGTATCCGAGCGTTCAACTTCCACACACACATCCTGACGTTAAATAATTTGTTCTATAAATAACTTTACCCTGGTTAATTATTGTGGGGGTAGGTAGAAAAGTATTGAATCTACACGATTAAATGGCGCACTCCATTCTAATTGCTTTTTGGAAGGTAATAGAGGATCTAACTCTATAGTGCATTTTTATCAGCGACACTTGTGGTCTCTTAACCAATAAGACAGTTCTCTACTTAGGTATGTTTTATACATATTAGTACCAATTACATTTTAAAATTCTAGGTATATTATAAATTATGTATATTTTTTTTTCTTTCATTAGACCATTATTTTGTTACTTTTGTGTATTTTAAATGTTACTTGTTTGTGATGTGGCACTATACCTACTCCTTCAAATACTCGGTTGCCAAAGAAGAAAAAAAAACTCCTTCGAATAAATAAATAAAAATAAGTAGACAATATCTACAATTTATCTAGTTATCTACCTTACATGCTCCCTTTGTTTGCAGAACACCTGTTTTGTTGATTTTACAAGCAAATGATTCACTAAGCTGATTTTTTGAGATAAGATGTGTATTTTTGTTTGATAATACGTATCGTTAAGTAGTTTACTGTCTGATTCATGATCCGATGTCCACAACAACACTTATTAATCCTCTGTGGTAACTTGAGAACTGTTTAACCAATCAATGAACGAGTCCGGCCCTCAGTCGCCATTCATGTTGCAACCAAAACTCACACGGGCGTAAATAAAACCTATTTTGTGTTTAGCCGGCAAATTGATACCGGCCGGTAACTAATGTAGAGGAGTTCTTTTTTTAAATATTATTTATTTCAAAATGGCAGCTTATAAAGCTTGTGTTTTGTTCGGTGTATTGGCTGTGTATTTCTTTGGTGCATGTTTTGCCGGTAAGTACGTTTATTAACTTTGTTTTCATTTGCAATTGGCTTGATTACTGATAGACGATCGTTTCATGTTTTCCTTCCTGCGGCTAACCCGGTCTCCAGTTTTGTTATTAGTAACATAATTACGATACCTAAATGCATTTAGCTATCGAATTTAACATATCATTCAAAAAATGTTGATTAAGTAATGTTTATCTGTACCTATGTATGTATTAACTAATGTTTTTATTTAAGCGCCTACTTCATATATTTAAAGACTAATATTAAAATAAAAATAAGGATTCGCTATTGTTAATAATTGCAGTCTCTTTCTATCAGGCGCCGTTAATGAATTTATAATCTTTCTCTTTTAATAAATAGACAAAGCTAGTTAGCATAGTCGCTATACAATATACAATAAAAGTAAATTTTAACTGAGAATAAAACAAATGAATTGTTAAACTCATTAATCAAGTGTCGCTTATCTTATTTTTGTATAAATATTGAATGTATTGCTATCGCATCGCGTTGTTTGATAACAATGGACGAGCAAGTATGACTAAATCTTATGATAAGTAATGAGTACCTATATGTACTTATGGTACGAGGATATTAATGTTAAAAGTAGGTAAAAGCAATCGATTTACAAAGTGTGTTGCTAAGTCAATATAAATTTTGTTTTTACTAATTGAATCATGATACAATGATCTTATTTTCCTTGTAATTAAATGCTCAGATGAATTGGTAAGTATACGTTACGAATAGCCGCAAATATTTAAAAAAAAATTAAAAAAAAAGTGATTTACCATGGCAATTGTTAATTAATAGGGTATATGAATTATACATTATATGAAAATTAAAATGTAGGTAATTAGTCCGTCAGATAAATGAAAAATATTAGACACATATTTTTTATTTTGTCGCATAAAAGAAATCAATACTTTGATAAAACGGAGTTAAGTTTAGGAGTAGGAGGTCACTATGTCACGCTATAAAATGGAGTAAATCGTGGCGTCACACGATATTAACTTAAAATCGGTATTACTCACGTGAATATATTGAGAAAAGCTTTACTAGTTTCGAACCACAGAGGGGTTCTTTCTCATGAATTTTACGATACACGATATTTCAAATCAATATGTCGTCGAAAGTATTTAATTTTGTAAAAAAGAAAAAATACGTGTTAATATTATAAAATAATCTACCAGACGGACATTAAAATATAATCTAGATACTAGGTACCCTATTCACATATTCAGTCGATATTAATTATATCTAACCTTCGTGAGACATACTAAATTAAATAATATGTTTTCGGCTTACTCATGTAACTGTTTGACGAAAAACTCGACTAGTTTCAAGCATGACACAAAAACATAATAATTAATATTCACTCGAGGTTGTGACTATCAGGGTACTTAGTCAACCTTAAACGATGTTCTATCAAATTGAAATAAATAGTTGGTGCTGCCATTGACGAATATTTTTTATACAATTTCATAATATTTTCTTTAAACAATTTGTTCGCTTCCAGACATCCCGTGTGCAGCTAGAAAAATAACGGGCAAGTCTGTTGTGTGTGTGTGCAACGCTACATACTGCGATACTATAACAAGGGAACCTTTCGTACCCACCACGTACGTTGTGTATTACAGCTCACAGGTAAATATATATTAAACATATTTATAAAACAATAGTTTAACCTATGTGTTAATATTTTGAAGACAACATGCAATTTGTTACAAATATTGTAACATGTTGCGTAACTTTGCTACGGTTGTCGTAGCTTGCTACGCAACGCGTAGCGATTCCCTTTTTTAGTTTAAACAAGTGCAGTAACATACACGTGAAGCTTTTTAAATAGGGGATGCAAATCTCGCAAGGAGATCTCACGGGATCATAAAATACATTCTCGCGAGATCGCGAAGGTGAATTTTAAGTAGTTTACTACTTCTACTTTGACGTCCGTTACTATCAAATAAGAAAGAACAGAAACAACCTGTATTTTCTCCTTAAACTGTGGAATAATCTGTCGTCGGCGGTATTTCCGAACCGATACGACCTTCAAACCTTCAAGAAAAGAGCGTATTCCTTTTTAAAATACCGACAACGTACTTGTGACCCCTCTGGTGTTGCGGGTGTCCATGGATAGCGCTAATCGCTTACCAGGTCACTAAATCAGGGTGCTTACTCTTGAATCCAATTCCGATCGATCGACATTGGTAAAGTGAAATTTCGTACTCTTGAGTTGCAACACTAGCGCCCATAGCGTCCGTATTGCGTGGATATTGAATGAACTAAATGATATTGAGTTTGGCTTTATTTTCCGTACTCTAAATACTATTTTAATAGCTACGATAGGGGTTGTATAGTTTTGACATTGAATAATTATTGAGATTTTATTGGATTGAAATTGCATTAGCATTGAGATTGGTTTCAAGAGTAAGCACCCAGGTGATCAGTCTGCTCGTTTGCCTCCTATTCCAAAAAAAACTGTATTAAAAAAATGTATCCTTCAGTTAAGCAATCTCGTTAATTCGCGTCCATTTCTTGACCGAGAGATTAATGTCTTTGGAAATGAACGACATCAAAATTGTATTCCCTAGGTATTACCGACGTAAACATCGAGCACGTATTGAACGTTGCGAAAAAGGCCCTAGAGATATCTAATTGGAAGTGTCTCGCCTGATATTAATTTAAATATTTATTTTCAGAGTGGATTACGATTTAACAAAAGCAGAGCTCAATTGAAACAGGCGAATTATTCCGGTGAGTTTAAAACATGCTTAAAATCACCACACACTATATTGTAGAAGTTTATGAACATGTAAAAAAATCAATATTTTTCGTACCTACTATGTACACCTTAGTCATTGTGATCTGAGGCCTTAGTACGAGTTTGATTTACGTTAAAAGTAATCGAAACGAGTACGCGTTCGGCGCCCTGATTGGCCGGCTCCAATAAACCAACCAATCAGACCGCCGAATGTAGTCTCGTTTCGATTACTTTTAACGTAAAACAAACTCGTAGCTCGTACTAAGACCTCTGTTTACTCTAGCGTAATCATTATTTTGTATTGTATTATATCGTTGTTTAATTTTCAATCGACTTCAAAAAAGGAGGAGGTTCTCAATTCGACTATATTTTTTTTGTTATCATTTACTGCTACATCATGGACATGGATGCGTTTAAAAAACAGTCTGTACATTATGTTACATCCGGACCTGTATCACCAACACGCGGGACACACTTCCGTCTGCAAAAAACACATGGTACAGGTTTTTTTGTACACGGAAGTGTCGTGTAGTCTTTGATCTTTACATTTTATTTCATTCCATTCCAGATACAGAATGTATTCCAACATTAATTTTGAACCCCAAAGTAAAGTATCAGAGGGTGGAAGGTTTCGGCGGAGCGACCACGGACGCCGCTGGTATCAACTGGAAGAACTTGAGCCTGCCTCTACAGAAATACCTGATTGAGTAAGCATTGTCGATTATTTACTTTGGAGTGACGTAGACGTAATATAAGTTCGCGGGCCTGCAGACGGCGAGCATGGGTGGCTCGCGCGCGCCTCAAAGAGCCATCAGACCACAACGGATGGGGTGGGGCCCAATAGGGCTGATGCCGATTAGGAGTCGCGGAGAAGCTAACGGGTTACCGGGGCTCCGGCTCGAAGTGCAGGAGAAGGAGCGGGGTGGTTTTTAGTCAATAGTCTGACACTCCCTCCCGCCTCACCCAGGCGGGATCAGTAATTCGATGATTTTCCCCCCTTAAAAAATATAACATAAGTTGGCTTGAAAAAATTAAATGAACTTTGTGACGAAAATGGCGAAGTTCTTGGTTAACTCCCTAAATGAGATAGAGCAGTAATATGTTAATGACCACTGATGAGGAGATAGTTTAAAATGCATTGTTGCTAATAGAATTTACACACAAACGGATATTATCTTATTTTTCTGCGCTACAGGGCGGCCAATGAGCAGACCGATCACTTGATATAAGCAATCAGCGAAGCTAGTACATTGCCGGCCTTTTGGAGTAGGGATTTGAGGATTGGGGAGGTTATCTTTGTCGTGACGTTTTTTATTAAAACTTATTCTCATATTTCCTCGGTTCCACAGCTCATATTTCAGCGACAAAGGTTTGCAGTACAACATGATCCGCGTCCCTATCGGCGGCACAGACTTCTCAACTCATGCGTATGCTTACAACGAGCTCCCCGTGAACGATACCAATTTATCCAACTTTACACTCACTTACGAAGACTTCCATTATAAGGTTAGTTAATCAATCATCTTCCAGGAGTTGTAGCCAAATGCCACTTAGCGCTTGTCTACATGTAGAATAGAAAACCAAATTATATGGGATTGACGTTAATTTTGACACTTGTCAGTGTCATCCTCATACATTTAGTTAACTACTTTCTCTGTAGACAAGCGCTAAAGTGGTATTTGGCTAAAGGCAGTGATTATGTTAAGGACAAGTAACTGCGGTACTCGAACTTTAATGCTAAATTTTGAGGACTTTTGTCGCTTGCAGTGTGAGGTCATTGACTTTTTGTTACTCCTCAAAATGTTTTGAAACGCGTTTAAATCTTAAATGTACTTCAACTATGTATTTGAAATGAGAATCAAGGTTTAATTAAAATGATTAGGAGGTGGAAATACTCAGAAACAGTAGGTCCTGTCTTTTGCGGGTACTGGTCGATTACGAGTAGATGAAAATTGAGCTCCGGTGAAGTACTTTTCTAGATGCGTATCGTTAGCAAATAGACGGAAACGACATAATGTTTATTTTTCTTCTGTGTCGTGGGTGCGTTTATGTTATGTTTATGCTATCTGTGGCAAGTTGGCCGCTTTCAATAGGAAAACCTATTTATGTTCTTCTTTTGTTTATAAAATATATGAGTGTGTTTATGACTAGCTTGTATAATACACACGATAAATAATTATTGCATTATATGTAGAGGTATATTGAAAATATATAACAGTTTACAAACATAGAATTTGACATCCACATGAATTTCAGATCTGAAACAACAATTTGTGGATTACACAAAGAGTTGCTTCGTACCAAATGGTCGCAAGTGCGACTGCTGGGCAAGGGGTCTCGGGTTCGATTAGGTTCGGCAAACTATTACGGGGTTTTTTAAAATCCTCAGTAGTAGCACAGAGTCTGGAATCGTGCTCGGTATAAGACAATAGGCTCACCCCCTATTACATGGGAATCATAACATAAATAGTGAAAAGTGGGTGTTACATTGTACAGTAGCATTATGTGCCGAAATGTGCACCTCTGCCTACCCCTTCGGGGATAAAAAGGCGTGATTCTATGTCATAACACAAGCTGTGTGTGTCTTCAGATCCCGATGATAAAGGCAGCGATGCAAGCATCAAGCACGCCAATACACGTGATAGCGACAACATGGTCGCCGCCGCTGTGGATGAAGACGCGCCCCGTCTACAGGGGACGCAGTCTATTGAAACCGGAGTACTACCAGACTTACGCCGACTACCACTACAAGTAAATATTTCACCCACATCACACATTAACAGTTCATGCAGTAATAACGGCCTCACGGAGATATGAGGGGGTCGCCATAATCACCACGCTTGGTAAGGTGATTGTAAAAGGTTCAGATTTATCAGAGAGCTCTGCTGTCTAATCTCTATCAAATGTGAAGTGCCTTAGTTGGCTCTTATGTTACGACACCTGCGGGAAAAGTAGGGCTAGCAACATATGTATGTGCTCTGCCAACACCACACGGACTTGTTATCGACGAAGGCCCAAACATAAGTGTACATAATATTTAATCTTAAACAGTCATTCCATTTTTTTATATTTGATGGGCCGTCGTTTGACCATTATCTCGCCTGGTGGTAAGCGATGACGCGGTCTACGATGGAGCACGTCGTCCCATAAGCAACCTATTCACTCGGGCCCTGAAGACACCCAGGTTTATACCCTTTAGGAAATGAAAATGCACAAGGAAGCTAACATGTAAGATAGTACTTTGTAATCGGAGGTAAGTTTAGCGTCATACAGTAGTCGAACCTAACCAAAATGAATGAGGTAATCCAAAACAATGATTGTTAAACAGCAGAAAACAATCCGTATTTTATACACTTCAAAACCATTTCTAACTTCTAAGAATGAAGAAAAGTTTACAAATAATGCAAACTTTAATGAAATAAATACTAACTATTACTTAAGAGACACTAAAACAAATTTAAAAAATTAAATAAAAGAAAACTAAGAATTGTTATTTACAACGAGCATCAAAAAATTCATCCGCATCGACGTCAATTGGGTAAGTACCCCAAAGGCTGGCACGTTGTATGAAACAGACCAGCCCTCTGGTCTCGAGATGCGTCAACCAGGCGTTTTGAAATATTTTTAAACCTAATAGCCGTTCAACTATAACTCTTTTTTTATTTTTTTTCTACCTTATTACATCCATGTACGTGATGAAGCTATACATCTGCAGGTTCCTAGAGAAGTACAAGGAGCAAGGTATCAACGTGTGGGGCATCACCACCACCAACGAGCCCACCACTGGACTCGTCGGGTTCATTCACTCCGTAAACAATCTCGGCTGGACCGCGGCCAGTATGGTAACACATTCCTTTAAATTACGTTCATACACCGTCAAATCTATTTCGTCCTGCGGCAAAACCAGTTGCCATAAGGAGTATTTTTGATAAATAAAGTAAAATTTAAAAAAGCTAGATGTAATTGTTTTTAGTTTAAGAAACATATGCATCGACTTACGCACAGGACACACTAGATGTAAATTTGTGAGCACTATTCGCATCGTACGTGCCACCCGACGAGAAATATTTCTTCGAAAATTAAATACCGTGATGTTTTGATTACTTACAATGAGTTCGTATGCGCTTTCGAAATTTAATTTTTTGCAACGATTCACCATTTATTTTTTGTAATAAATATTTTATTTCTTTGTAAATTCATTTTATCAACGGGACAGAACCATTTTCCTTCGGGACGAAAAGAATAATGGTATAATAAACTTATGTATGCTTTTAAGGACCTATAGCGACCCACCTTATGCTTCCAACACATTCTGCATTTAGTTATACAAATACGTTAGCAGGCTATATATGTTCGGGGTTGGGGTGAGTTCAAGATAAACTCTAGGATGTAGAATGAAAGGTATATTTCGATACTAATGGGATAACTACTAAGTCTAATGAGGTGAATGAGATGAGGTTGAGTAGTGTCCGTATTTATAAACGTACAGAACGTACTGAGCGTTTTTACCTAAGTAATACATAATGTATTCATGACATATTGCGGTGTATCGCAATTACAATATCAATATAATATTATACCTTTTAAAATTCTGTCTTTTTTAGAAAACAACTAGAACACCAATGGAACTGATTACCTTTTTTGATGAGCGACACAATATTGAATATTAACTTTAAAACATCATCTTGTCCTAAATTCTAACCTAGGTATTGAAATCGTCTATTTCCAGGGCAGATGGATTATCATGAACTTGGGTCCGACTATACGTAACTCAACGTTCAAGGATGTTAAAATAATAACAGGAGACGACCAGAGACTTACACTACCTTACTGGGCGAATGTGGTAAGTATCATCACTTTAACTATTACCCTTATGAGAAAAAATAAATGTTAACAAACATGTATTTTGTTAACATTTATTTTCTCTCATAAGTTAATATAAGTAGGTCGATATCGATCTCTATTGAACTCTTTATCCTATGATTGTGTGGAAAGAATTGAACAAACCCGGATATATATGGAACAAATCAATAGTTTCTACATATGAATAAAATTGTCAAAGACTTTATCATCTTTTAATCCACATATCCCATTGGGTTATAAACAAAACTATGTAACCAGGAAATTGTATTGTGAACCTGATTGAAAAGAATAACCTATGGAGTTTCTTGCTCGTTCTTCTTCATTGGAATCTACACCTTGGAATGAGCAAATAGCTTCACTTTTAATTTTTTGTTGACGTTCAAAAGTGCCTTTCTATCTAGTCTAATTGAAATAAATGATTTTGACTTTGACTATAGGTATCTCTTATTCAGTATTAATTAATTAACTATTATGTACGTTTTTACCAACCTCTCCTGAAAAAGAAAGCACTAAGCTAGGATGGACGACATTTAATGTCAATTTCGTTTTCATTAATCTATATCTAAGAGACACTTTACAGTACAAGTTAGGGGTTTATTTAGGTAGCAGGATATAGTCCCATTAAGTGACTTTTAGTTAAGTGACAGTTTAGGGGTGATTGGTAAAAATGGCCATTAATCAAAATAATGCTTGTACTCTCCCCTAGCTAGTAGCGGAGCACCCTAAAGTACTGGACTACGTGGACGGTATCGCAGTACATTACTACACAGACTTCCTCACGCCCGCCTCCATACTCAGCGAGGTCTCCAAGTCATTCCCCAACAAGTTCATCATCGCCACTGAAGCTTGCGAAGGTAAAATACTAAAAACTAAGTAAAAGATAAACGTAATATTTAGATATTACAATAATTTCATATTTCACAACAATAATTACGAAGCGAAGTAAAGTATTATTCGAATTTTTGAATTTTCCGATAAAAGACATTATAATATCAACGTAATTAAGTCTCGCGACAAAAGTTGTGGGTGCGAATGACCGACTCTTGATGAAGCACTCGATTTTATGTAGTACTACGACTACCCACTTTCAGTTCGGTAAACAATAAAATGTATTGTAATGTGTATTGTAAATTGTAATGTATTATTTACTATTACAGGAAGTATACCGATTCTTGAGAAACACGTGGACGTAGGATCCTGGGTGAGGGCGAAGAAATACGCGATTGACATTATTGATGTAAGTATATCACCCTCAAAAAAAAAACCTGAGAAATGGTGTACAAAGAGCTCCCACTTCCTACTTGTACAGTTTGTTTTCATTTTAAAAGAGATTAACATACAATAATCTAAATTTTTCTTCTTCTTGAGTTCCTAGTTTGAGGTTCCTCATCTTCTTTATAATGTTCTGTGTTCCTCACGAACTAACAGTAGTTTCAAGTCGATTTTCGGAAAGCATACGAGGGTCTGCCAACCACAGAGGCACGATGGACATCTTTTAATAAATTAGAACACAACACAATTTTTTATAAGCAAATATTATATTTCTAAACAATATAATATTATCAGAAAATATCTGCTAGACTATTCTGTAAGATGTCAGTTTGAATTTTCGAAGTTAGCTAAATCGCATTCTCGCCCGTCATTGGTCAAGATTATTCTCACAACCAATAACATGGCGAACCGCGATCGAGTTCATTTCGATCCTTCTGAGTTACAGAATAGCGTAGCTGATCTCACAAAATTTTGTTATAGGACATAAACCACGACGTCGTAGGTTGGATAGACTGGAACTTGTGTCTGAACGTGCAAGGTGGACCTTCCTACACGGCGAACCATGTGGACTCGCCCATTTTAGTTTTCCCAGAATTTAATGCCTTCATCAAACAACCGATGTTCTACGCCATGGGACATTTCTCCAAGTTTGTTCCAAGAGGGTCGAGGAGGATACAAGTTACACAGAAGTGTGGTTGGAAGAAGTCTCTCTGGAACACTGCCTTCATCACTCCTCAGGACAATGTGGTCGTGGTACTTTATAATGAGTAAGTATTTTCCGTTTTTTTTTTATATTTGATGGGGCGACGTTTGACTACTATCTCGCCTGGTGGTAAGCGATGACGCGGTCTACGATGGAGCACGTCGTCCCATAAGTAACCTATTCACTCGGGCCTTGAAGACTCCCAGGTTATACCCTTCAGGAAATACAGACTCTGGCAAAGAATTTCACTCTTTAGCAGTACGCACAAGGAAGCTTGAAGCGAAGCGCTTCGTGCGTGTGGGCGGAACATCTACCATGAATCGGATTAGTATTCTGATCTCAGTTGTAGCAATTGTTTAGTCAAATGAAAGGACAAATAAGATTGTATTGTTTTTAAGTCTAATATAGTCTACTATTAAAGTAGTTGCTCCCTGCTCATCGTTATGGGTCCCTTTAGTGGCTTGAAACTGGTCGAGTGTAACTTTGTCGGAAAGTTACGTAAGAAAGCTGTTTTATTTGTTTAGCCTTTTGTCGTATGATATCATGCGAAGTAACAGTAATTAAATAGTAGAAGGTCAATTTAATAGATTTTGAATAGTTTTACAAACGAGTCTTTAAGTAGTTATCCTACTATTATTATAGAGGATGTCTGGATGTACGTTTGTTAGTCTGTAACAAAAAGAGTACTGGACGAATTTGGATGAAATTTGGTACAAGTATAGATAATAAAATAACATAACATCACGCCTTTTATCACCACTGTACAATCTAACACCTACTTTTCACTATTTATGTTATGAGTCCCATGTAATAGGGGGTGAGCCTATATATACCGGGCACAATTCCATACTCCGTGCTACTACTGAGATTTTTTGTAAAACCCAGTAATACTTTGACCGACCCTGGAATCGAACTCGAGACCCCTTGCCCGGCAGTCGCACTTGCGACCACTCGGTCAACGAGGCATATTAGGCTATACTTACGTATAGATAATAATCTGGAAATATAGGATAATTGGTATACCAGGAACTTGGGCGAAGATGCTGATAGAACCTACTATTTAAGTCATAAAGGTCCTGCGATCATTTGTCATGCACCAATAATAATGTTTCCATTCGCAGTGGTAAGGCGACCAAAGTGAACCTTCAGTTGGGAAGTTATCAAGCTGTGGTGGAGATGGAAGCTAACTCTATGGCCACCGTGGAACTGCCGCCTAACTTAAGCTTGTAGACTATATTCCTTTGTGGGTTATTTACTTATTCTGTTTTTATTGATAAGCAATTACATACCATATCCAAGTTATAGATTTATTATTTACTTTGACATTTGAAAACTTGTATTTTTTAAGTAATGGATAGAGATGCTATGCAAGTTAAGTAATATTGTATCACAATAAAATTACGTAAGTACGTTTGTACGTCTGCCCGTAAAGTGTATGTAAAAGTAAAGGAAAGTGTTACTCGTGTATTCTGTTTTATTATTTTTAAATAAAAGTTCTCTAGAAGGGTTTGTGTTTTTGTACAATTTTGTTGCAGATACCTATATTATTTTTTTATGGTATAAGCCAGTAAACGAGCAGACGGATTATCTGATGGTAAGCAATCGTCGCCGCCCATGGACACCAAGAACACCAAAGGCATTTAAGTGCGTTACCGGCCTTTTGAGAATTGGGAATTTGAGGATTATGGGGGAGTCAGGAATTGAGGAGACTGGAGAGGGGGTTAATTGGGTCTCCGGTAACTTTACTCACACGACGAAACATAACGCAAGCGTTGTTTGACGACAGTTTTCTGTGAAGCCGTGGTATCGCCCCGGTGAACCCCGCCCATTCGTGCCGATGCTCTCCCACTAAAGGTGTTGATATTCGGAGATGTTTTCTAGTTTTATAGCTTAGGGATGACTTGATGTCATCCCTAAGCTAGAATGTATGGGCCGACCTATATAATGTATATGTAGATAAAAAAATCGTAAATATATATATGTAGGTATAATCAAGTAACAAGTGAGATCACAATAATTTGAACAGTAATTTTCTCGAATTCATATCCATCTATAAAGTACCTATTTAGTTATTGTGAAATACATAACAACAAAGTTGAAGGCCAAATGTTTTATATAATTCCTATTCTTTATGCGTGAGCACGCCTGTGAACATTAGATCAAAGACTATCTTCTGCTAAACTACTGAAGCACGCACTCACAATCTACGCTCCTATTATCTACGGCAGCGCCACCAAGTAAACACTACGGGTGGTCAAATTTCAAACTAATACTTCCCGAATAAAATTACCTTTTATAAATGATTTTATATAGAAACTAGCGACATGATAAACTGTATTGTTAAATTGGTATTTCTATAAGTAGCTACTGTTATGTACGTGACAGGATGGCGTTGTTAAGCCGATGACGAGGACGCTGCGTCAATCACAAATCTCGTTCGTTCAGCTAATATTACTTGCTTACTGACTGGGGTGACTCAATTTCTCTGTTTACTGTGAATATCGGAAATGGTTTTAAAACATAATTTTACATATTAGGTACATTAATATTTGTAAATCACTGTACTAGCGAAATTTTATGTCTTTTTTATATTGAAAGTACTTAATCTAAGTCAAGCCTATTGGCGAACGCCGAAAACAGAATACAGATTTTATATGTATTGATGAAATATTATATAGGTATTGTCGTTCAAAAGTGCCTTCCTGGTCTAATTGAAATAAATGATTTTGACTTTGACTTTATCTAACACAGGGATCCAATTCGAAACCTCACGCTCGCTCACACACCGGCGATAGAGAATATTCCACCAAACAAGTTCTAAGAAAATATAACATTCATAAGTACTTAGTATAAAATATCCGCTCTAAGTCAGAATGAGCTAATAGCTAAACACATATAAAATATTCAAAATTGCGTTAAAAGCAAATTAAATTATTATTATTTCCTCATGTAAGGCGGTGAGTCATGGCGGCTTCGTGTCTAGTAAACCAGAATGGTCGCCTGGTTGCCCTACTGACTACGGCTTCGCAGTGACGTGACTCATGCAGTAAACAGAATTATTATTATACCGACTACCGCCCGTTATTATATTACCACTAATAAAACCAACTTTGATGTTCTAGAGAATTGTACGTAAGCTACTTATGTAGATCAGGTAGCTATTTTTGTGTTTACATAGTAATAAGACTTTAGACCGATTACCCGGAATATGGAAATCACTACGGTGGGGCCTATGTCCTATAGGTGTGTTAAAAATAGTATAAAGAGGAAACATTTTTGTTTGTAATGTTTTTAGGGGATACAGATAAGCCGGTAAAGGAGCAGACGGACCGACTGATGGTAAGCAATCGGCGTCGGCCATGGACACCTGGAACACCAGAGGCGTTACAAGTGCGTTATCAGGCTTTTGAGGATTAGAGGTAGGAATTTATGGATTGTTGTGGATTCAGGGATTGGGGAGACCTCAGTCACACGACGAAACACAACGCAAGCGTTATTTCAAGTCAGTTTTCTGTGATGCCGTGGTATCACTCCGGTCAAGGTAGCCCATCTGTGCTGAAGTATTGTTTTTAAACATTGTGAACCTGATTGAAAAAGAGTAACCTATGGAGTTTGCTCGTTTTTCCGTACCGAAAGCCACCGTATTTTCCTTCAACAATCATCAGTGTTACGGAAAATAAATTGAAACTTACAATTAATTAAACAAAGATTTCGAGGACTTGTTTTGTTTTAGACCTCCTTTTATTTATCTATACCGCAGCCCGCAGGAATAAGTAATGACACATATTTGTTACTTACATTGTTAAATGATTCACTAACTAAATGACACATAGCTTACAAGTAACTTGGTTATTTACATAAAGCACCGTGACGACGGAAACAATGAATTTTACTAATGCCAAAGTAACTTATAGTTAAGCTTTGTTTTTCAGTTTTTTGTCTATTCTGGCAGCTGTAGCCAAATGCCGTTTAGCGCGTTTTAATGTCTAAATTATATGAGATTGACGTAAATTTTGACACTTGTCAGTGTCATCCTCATACTTACATATTTTAGTTTTCTACTCTCTTGGTAGACAAGCGTTAAAGTGGCGTTTGGCTAAAGGCACAGGTACGGTGGCTAGAGGGTCAACCCATCCTTTTCTGTAAATTTTTTTCTATCACATTTTCAACTTTATTGCATTGACATAAAGGCGAAAATCCAATGAATAAAGACAAATTGTTAAATAGGTTGGTGTGCTGGCCTGGCCTGTACCTATTGTAGGGATGGGAATAGGAATACGTTTGGAAGGTGACGTCACCGGCATTACCAGATATAGCAACTACTTTTATTTTGTTTATTTAAAGTAAAAAGCGTTAGAAAGTCAATGACAGCCCAACTCCAATGACAGAACAACTGCTAAAAGTTATTCTGTTGTAGTCCATTTTTTGGTGGAGTAATTAAAAAAAAACTTTGCCCCACACTAGGATTTTCTCATGTGCCGTAGGTGCGTTTACAAACATACAAGTTCACATACACATGACACGCAGACCCGAAACAACAATTTGTCGATCACACAAAGAGTTGCTCCATGTGGGAATCGAAACCGCGATACGTTGCGCGATAGCCAGTTGCCCAGCCACCGCAACGACCGTGCCGTCAAATAAATGAAAATTATAGATATGTCTTTATAAGCATAAAGTAAATGCATACGTGGTCTATAGTTTCATTGAACTGATTGATCAAATAAGTAGATATGATACAAAATCGGAATGTAAGATTCTTTATTTTTTTATATTTTTAAATTCATTAATTATTTTTTATGATAAAAGTAATAAAAGGTACATAAGCAGAAAGACGTAAATAGAAATAGTACGTAATTCAATTAATCATTTAATAACATATTTACGTAACATTACAGCGATGATTAATTATTTGCAGTTGTGTAACATAATTAAAGCAGATAACATAAATTAATGAAAATTATATTACTCTAAATGTCTGGGACAAACTGTTAATTATTTAGGTAACTACTGGAGATTTTACATTTGTAAAATTAATAAGAATAAATAAGAATCAATGATGTTGATAATGAAGATGAACTCAAGCTTGGTTTATTCACATTTTAAAATTATCTCTCGGGGAAAAGAGAATTTTTTTAATTTAACAATATATTACTATAGGTATACCTAGGTACAGTACTTGCGACTTCTGACTGCCGGACACCCTTGCCCTTGCTCGGGTTCGATTCCCGGGTCGGGCAAAGTATTACTGGGTTTTGTAAAAAAATACCAGAAGTAGCACGGAGTCTGGCTTTGCGCCCGGCATATGGTATATGACAATAGACTCACCGCCTATTGGCGGGGACTTATGACATAACCTCTGCCTACCCCTTGTTTCCCTTAAGGTATTAGGTAATTAAATACGTAGATGGGCATTATTTTTAATTAGCTCTTGATTACTTTCATAACAACAATAGTCATCTATATTTAAAGTATCCGCTAAATTAAATTTATTGTAAACAGGAAAATAAGTAATTATTGCAAATCAAGTGCGGGAGTCCGGGAGAGTACACCAATTTTTTACAACTTTACCTTATTTTACCTAATTATAACATCATTGAATAAAGTATGATTCAACCCAAGAAAAAATGGTTTCAACCCAAAACGGTATCTATTTACATTTTATTTATTGTGTGTCTTCCTTTGTTTCCTAGAGCTGTTACAAAATTTGTACAAGTTTTATGAATGAACGCACGCATTATATCAACGTTTCTGGGAATTCAAGTTCTGCGCATCGCTAGCGATGAAAGGTCAGAGACGTCCAATCGTTTAAAACGAGTAGTTTGCGGTATTCCAGCCAGTCTCAAACCAACCGCCGACCGGTGACGGCGTGCTTTCGAATTCCAAATTTAAATTCAGTTCGATATTCAAAATGTACAGTTTAACGGTTTTAGGGGTGTTGTTGGCAGTATGTGGGGGTGCATTCAGCCACAGTTACCACTTGGGGGCGTGCCCTGTGGTGGAACCCATGCCCGGGTTCGAAATGAACAAGGTCAGTACATTATGGGTCTTTTTTGTTATTTATTTTTATTATCGTGCCGGGATCAGAGGGACCAGGGTCATCATGTGAGATTACAATGATCTGTGGGCAAGCGTGACTCGCGCACAAAGAGATTACTCACAAAGCAGTATTTACTTGTAAGTCTATAGTAAGTTCGTGTGGTTTCTAATAATAAACAACCGATAACAGTTATACTGTGGTACCTCTATCTATTCTTGTTTTCTGGTCAAAGGATACTACTATAAAATATAAAATAGATAATAACTTGGATTACTGAGGGTGTGGGGTATGCCGTTCGGTGTATGGCAAAGGTTCGCCCTAGAAAAATATCTTGCCAATATCAACTTCTAAGATGTGTATCTTTCTAATCTCCTTCGGTAAAAACAGGAGTGATATTGTTTTGTTTTGATAGGAAAATATTAATGTATACTAAGAAGATATTGTGGGAAATATTCAGAGCAGATAACAAGATCATAGTAGTGTTGGTTGCTGCACTTACTTTCTGTTGACTGTATCAATATGTGTGTTCTGAATAAGCACTTATGTAAACATTATAATTACGTATGCAAGCAATATCTATCAGGAACATTTTCACATGTTAATATATAGTAATTTGATCTTCAAAAACTGACAATACTCCACATCACTTGTTATACTTTCGCCTCAATAGATGGACAAATATATTATTTTTAAAATCTGATGTTATTAGTTTAATGATGAGTCATCTACTTAAGAACCCTATTAGATTCTTCAATAAAGGTGGAATTAGTTATATTATTCTATGGTCTTTAACGCACTCGTAATAGTTTTGTTTATTTCTAATTATTGTGGTTTTAAATTATGAAATGCTATTTGTTTTTGTTTTTTTTTTTCAATTTATCAGTCTTTGTTGCCATAATATTAAGTATTTCTTCAGTTTGTTCCAATTATAAGTTCACCTTAAATAGGTTTCTGTTTATGGGAAATTTGTATTTACGTTTAATAATTAAAATTTAGGCTAATAACTATTCTCTTGTGCATGATGTGTTTAATTGACACTAGCAAATGCATATTGTAAACCGATTTGTTGTAGTATGATGTGTCGTAGTCGTTGGCCTAAATAAATAAAAAAATAAATTTCAAGTGCTTTAGATAGGCGACGGTAACCATAATAATTCCCGTACCTAAGTCTTGTTGCTACAGTATCTAATATACATAAGTGGTATACTTATAAGTATAGATCTTATGTACCTGATTAGTTACCTAACGATTTTTTATGACGTTGTGGGTGTGAATAGTTACCTACCTCTATATATACTGTGTAATATGAAGCATGAATTTCTTCAACGAATGGGAATTCGTCCTTAAATTGTCAAAATATCTCAAAACTAGCGTCATATTTAAAGTAATTGGTTACTTTCCTTAGTATACTACTTTTGTATGAACAAGTTTAGGGGATGATTTTCAAAAATTTTCAAGGGTTTAATCAATAATAAATTATTTCGACTGTTCAGTACAATAAAATAATAAAAAATAATCACACTTTCATCAATTGATTTTATGACCAACTTTATTTTAGGATTTTTCCAGCAAATTTTTAAGAAATAAGTATGCTGTTTGACGCTAACAAAACGTGACGTTACAATACACAATATCGTACAAAATTCATAGAAAACTGTCGTTTATTCAGTTCGAAAAAAGGATTGAATTTGACTATCTGGCAAATATCTAATTTACGTAGTAGTGGAATTTTTTTCATAATAGGTACCTACTTAAGTTTTTACATAGGCAGCATTCATGACACTATTAAGTACCTACATACATTAAATTCTGGGAAAAACATAAATTACATTTTTAAGTAACTAGCAGTAGTCAGTTGGTAAACACCACGTAAACACAAACTTTATGTATGTACATTGTACAGAGGCTTAGTACGAGTTTCATTTACTTTTAAAGTATTCAAAATGAGTACGCGTTCAGCGCTCTGATTGGTCGGCGCCAATGAACCAACCAACCAGAGCGCCGAACGCGTACTCGTAAAACAAACTCGTACTAAGGCCTCAGACCTACACCATATTGCACGTAACCAAGGTGCTTATGCCTTGTTCGCACGACGCTAGTAATTTAGTCGAGTTGCTAAGATTTAGTAGTTCACTCTCACTTCCATTTTGGGACAAGCGAGAGAGGACTGCTGGATATTCGCTACTCGACTAAATTACTAGAGTAGTGTGAACAAGGCATTAATATAAGACCTCTCTATGTAGTTGTCTTGTCCTTGAAGAAGAAATTGTATGAAAAATACTTTCTTTTAACGATTACCTACACACGTACACGTGTTATTTCACACATTAAGTAAGCTCATTATCATAAACATTAATATGATCGTAATTTTTAATCGAACTGTATTTATGGTCTTAATGAAAAAAAGTTTGCTATCAGTCTTACGTCTAGGTAGAAGAAGAAGCAAGAAGCTAGATAGTATTCTGTACCCTTTAGCCAAACGCCACTTTAGCGCTTGTCTCCAGAGAAAGTAGAAAATTATATGTATGGGGATGACACTGACAAGTGTCAAAATTTACGTCAATTCCATATAATTTGGTTTTCTATTCTACATGTAGACAAGCGCTAAATGCAATTTGGCTACAGCTGTTGATTACTTTACGCCCGAATACCGAAAGGTTGAGGTTACTCAATTTTAAGTTGATGGTACAGATACCGTGCCATCTCTGTTATTACAAAGAATTTGTAGTGACAGAACTATACTTCAAATTGAAATAGCCTTTCAGTATTCGGGCGTTAGAATATTGCTTTACTTAAATAATATTATACGTTCGTACTTCTAATAGAAACAAGTATTTTAGTTACCAATAAAGATTAAGTTGGCCAACAAAATTGCGCAGTTAGATGTTAATAAAAATTGTGTTAAAGTTAGAAATAAATAAACGGAAAAAGGAAATAATAACCAATGTTTCTATGTATATGCGTAGGTATAATTATTAATTAATTACCTAAATGGTGCTTTGTTAAAATGTATTAAGTAATTACCGCTTATCTGGGTCATAAGGTTTTAGTTACATGAGTACATAAGCATTCATATTTATTTTAAAAGTATAAACAAAAACAACATCGTTTACTATGTTTATTACCTAAATTTACACCATTGAGAACGGCAAATAAAATCGTATATCCTTAGACGACCAAGGGACTAGACATTTGGTAGAAAGAGACCTGACACCCACAGTCCAACACGTCTGCTAAAGAGAGGATATTAGGTACGGCAAACCTTATAGAGGAGGCCCTTAGCCCTTAAATCTGTCCCTAAGATGACCCACTGACCCTTAGTCCAGCAGTAACGAAATTATTGTTAAAATATTCTCTATTGATCTATTCTGATTATCTACCAAATCAAAAGCAACTTAAGTAGTAGTAAACTACACACATCTGTATCTTTAGCCAAACGCCACTTTAGCGCTTGTCTACAGAGAGAGTAGAAAACTAAATGTATGGGGATTGTCTAGTTATTGTTCCGAGTGGGGATGACACTGAAAAGTGTCAAAATTTACGTCAATTCCATATAATTTGCTTTTCTATTCCACAAGTAGATAAGCGCTAAATGGCATTTGGTTACAGCTGCTGTTTACCTTTCAGAGATAGTGTGATTGAGTCAAAAGACTATCAGTCATTCTCAGTCATGTTATACAAACAAAAGAAATTGATCAGTTGTCGTCGTCCGATAACAAGAGACGATGACTCAGTGGTAGAAAAAAGATTGTTTCTCGGAAATATCTTATTTAAATATTACGTTAGTCATAATATACACTTTCACATAACCCAGATTCGAATGAACCTGAGTAGGTTAGACGTCAGAGGTTTTAAACAGTTCGACCAAAACGAAAGAAGGTCTAATGATTGATGCCTGCCTGGTAACTGCTCAAATTAATTAAAACAATTTAATTTTATGTACCTAAATTCAATCTTTTTGGTGAAAGATATAAACAACTCTAAAAAATATGTTTCATTGAAATTTTGAAGAATTTCGTGTTTGGTGCAATATCATTAGGAATTATAATGATGTTGGTAACCTTTGGCATTTGTCATTGTATTTGCTTAATATGCAAATAGTGACGCATGATCTAAGCACATCACATATTGCTCCGATTAATAAGTAAAAAGGATTCATCATACGTAAGGAAAAATCACCATTCAGTTACTAGAGCAGATAACAATGCAGTTATTTTAAAGGAGTTTATGGTTTGTTTATTTAGAACACAATTTACCTGTTTACGAATGAAAATATCGACAAAAACATTTGTCCGTGAGTCAATCAACTTTCGGTTCGTGACAAAAAGGCCAAACTAGCGAAGTATGGGTAACATAATAATAGATTTACTTTAGAATAAAGTATAAGTACGTGATACAACCTATTATAACATTGTGATCATAAAGTAGTTAGTTTGTTAAACTATGGAAAGTCCACATGGATACCTACATAATTATTACCTAAATTGTCTTGTATTTCAGGACATTTATACATCAGTCGTCGCAGTACATTATAACTAGGTACAGTTTGTAAATAATAAATTATATTGATTTTAATACAAAACGAAAACTTCTTACATAACAACTGAAGTATTTTAGTAGTTCCCCTTACATTACACCTATTGATCAAGGCCTCCTAAAACCCGAATCTTGGTTCTCACTCGAACACATCATTCTAGTCTAGTCGGTTTGTTGGGGTCATTGAACCAAGTTGTGCTTATCTACAAAACTGGAAAATAAAGGTCAGATGGAGCCAGTGGCGTAACTATAGGGTGGCAAGTTGGCAAAATGCCACGGACGGGCGTTCAGAGATTTCCATCTGAACTATTCTGTTTTTTATTGGGAACGGGGGCCCATCTGACGACTTAGCCACGGCCACGGACCACGAACGGTTTATGTGGTTAGAGACCTTGATAAAATCTTACATTATATTAAACATTGTTTGATATTTAGACCAAAATAGCAAAATCACAGTCAATGAAGCAAAGGTAAGAACATTAAGAATTGCATGTCACCAAAAAATTATCACAAAAAGCTATGGTACTATAAAGAAGAATATTAAGAACCTAATATGTATCGAGTAATACTTATGTTAGAGACACAAAACCTCAAAACCTTTGTTGAGTTAAAAGGAATAGGACGGTGCATTCAAAAGACCAGTTGTCAGGTACAAAGGACAGAATTTAATCCGATGATCTCATTGGATGTGACAATAAGTTTTTTCTTTCATAATAATATCTTTCATCGGGCTGCCTCGGTTCAAGGCATGTGAGACATTCCTCATCAGATTGGTTGGACTGGATTACCGAAATGTGACCGAGTAATGATCAGATTACATGAATGAATGAATTCCATCTGTGGTAGTATAGAACATGAACAATTGCTAAAAGCCCTATTGTTCTTGGCGCGCCGCGTCCATTGTTTTGACAACTTATTTCTTTCATTTTCATTAGGTACTCAATCATGATATTGATAGGTATTTACGCTGTGTGTGGTTTGGACCATTTTTTTTTTAACATCATCGTTGAATCGTCGGTGCAGTCCTCTTGTTATTATGGGTCTAAAAGTTACTGGGGTAGTCAACACAAAGTTTTAGTTAGGTAGTAAATAACAAATTGTTTGCTTCACGATGCGATGTATGTAGATTGTACATACATGTGATTACAAAAGTAAGCAGTTATCTTTTTTTTTTTATTTAAATCTTTGCCCCATACTGGGGTTTTCTCACACACTGGGGTGGGTGCGTTAACAAACCTACGATTTCACATACACTCACCCACCGGACACCCAGACCCGGAACAACAACCTGTGAATCAAAGAGGAACAAAGAGTTGGTCCGAGCGGGAATCGAGCCATCGCGCCAACCGTACAGTCATTGAAACATAAGTGGAAGTAAAGACTATTTAGTTACATAATGTACTTCTAAACACTTGAGATATTTTTATGCGATATCGATTCAGAAAACACGAAACGCATTTACGATCATATCAGCAACCGTTCATAATCGACACCATAATTTTATTACTTGTATTATGTACGACTTGCCTACATACTGATCAATTCGTTTCTTATCACCAGATGTTGGGCGTATGGTACGTGATCCAGAAGACGTCGACGGCCTCACATTGTCTCACCTACAACTTCACGAAGACCGATGAGCCATACAGATATGAACTGGAACAGTCTTCTCAGCACTTTATCTTGGGACTGACGCCTCTTAAGCATGACTATAGGTAGGTGACAATGACAACATGGCTGCTTAGAGAACAATATGTTTACCTACATGGATACATGCGAATATAAGATAGGTTGTGGAGCGTACTCAGTTTGACATCCTGAGGAAGGGGGTCATAAATGAAACTAAATGAGCGCCTGCTATAGGTTGGTAGTCGTAATTAATTGTTCAACGAAATTCAAACCAGAGGCGACGAGTTTGTTTTAAGTTGAAAGTAATCGAAACGAGTACGCGTTCGATGCTCTGATTGGCCGGCACCAATGAACCAACCAATCAGAGCGCCGGACGAGGTTTCGTTTCGATTACTTTAAACAAAAAAGAAACTCGTACTAAGCCCTCAGGTTACTTAGATAAGTTTTGATGGGGTCAAATGTAGGAATCTGGGATTTTATCATCAACCCTTTAAATGTCAGAAGTTCCTAGAGGTACTCGTGGATTGACTATGTTAATGACGTAGTTTGTGTAGGAAATACTCATGAAATATTGTTTGTGTTTTCCAGGTATACTGGAGTACTAACAGTCCCAGATCCCGCAGTTCCAGCTAGAATGAAAGTCAGGTTCCCACTGAGTAAGTATCCAAACATTATGTAAAATTCTTAAAAATACTTTCTACAATAAATACGTCTCTACGCCTCTCTAGGTCGATCTCCAACTGTGCATCAAAAATTGGTAGCGTAAAAATAACAAAGTTTACCAAATTGTAATTATTATTCAAGGCGTAGCCGGGTCAGCAAGCTACACCGTCCTGATGACTGACTACACCACCCACGCCGTCGTCTTCACGTGCCAGAAGCTTGCGTTCGCGCACCGAAGGTCTGCCACCATCCTTTCAAGGACCAAGGAACTCGACAGGATTTACTTGGACAAGGTAAGAAGGACCTACATATATTATCATCTAATTCTAGACTCATGTTGGAATTTAACGCTTCGGAGTTACTGAAACACCCGTGGCGTTTAGCTTTGTTACTATTACTACATAGGCACGGCAGAGTTAGGATTTTTAATTTGAATATTTTAAATTTGAATATTTTAAAAACCGTTGCAAGTAAGCGCGGGGGGAGGAACGCAGTAGCTTCGTCATTCGTGCGGATTCGTTAGTCACAGTCACTATATAGTCACTATCACTAGCAAAGAGTATAATAAGTATAGGGGTTAGTCACTAGTCACGATGTCGCAGTGGTCGGGTGAGCACCGGGCGTTCGCTATCGAAGCGTTTTTGAAAGGTGGAGAATCGTACGTCGTGGCTCGAAGACAGTTTTGTTCTCACTACAATATCAGATGTGTACGCATGGACCAAGCGAAAATTTGATTCGTAAATGGGTTATCAAGTTTCGAGCTACCGGTTCCGCTATAAATCAACCGCGTCCGGGCCCAAGCAGAACTTCAAGAACGGAAGAAACAATAAACGAAGTTGCAGCTAGCGTTCGACTAATCCACGCTTGTCAATACGCAAAAGAGCGGCGGCTTTAAACCTCACCAAATCAACCGTAGAGCGGTTTTTAAAACGTGATTTGAAATTCCATTCCGTATGTATAAAACAAAATCGGTATCCGCCGTCTGTCTGTCCCTATATATGCTTATATAGATTTTTAAAACTACGCAACGGAATTTGATGCGGTTTTTTTTAATAGATAAAGTGGTTTTTAAGGAAGGTTTATACGTATAATACATGCATATTGCACCCGTGTTAAGCCGGGGCAGGTTCACGATTTCATGTTCAGGGTGATCCATAAATCAACGTTTTTTTAATGGGATTGGAAGCAGGTAAGCAATCAGCACGTGTTCTATTGTATTCTAAGCCATGTTGTGTCAGATTCTCAGCTAAAAAAGGTATACAAAATAATGACATTAAGTGTGTTTCATTCATCTGCGATGCATCATGCTACATGCTCTTCCTGTGTCCTTCTCTATAGACGTAAAATTAAATAAATACACATAATTATAAGTAAGTTTACAATTCATTTGGTGTTGACTTAGGTGGTGTTATGAGATCATCGGAGACTTTATCATTAATGTAACATAGGCTAGGTAGAGATGATTATTTGCCTAAACAACATTGAGTCAATAACGCAGTCGTGGCACAGGCAATGTTGTGCAAATTACATTTAATGGGGATGATGACAGGGTATGAAAATTAAAAATATAATTAGTCCGTAAGTTAGGTAATGAAAAAATATTAGACACGTATTTTTTTATTTTGTCGTATAATAAAACAATACTTAGATAAAACGAATCAAAGTTTAGGAGTGGGGGCTAAAACGTCATTTCTTAGTATAAAATGTACTGAGAAGTGACGTCATGCGACATTTCAAATCAATATATCTTCGAAACTATTCGTTTCTGTGAGAAAAGAAAAAATACGTGTCTAATGTTTTTAAATAACCTATCAGACGGACATTAAAATAAAAATTAGTCGTCTACCCTATTATAAATTAATTGGTAAAATAAGTACCTAAGTGTGCTTCCATGAATCTGCGATGAATACATAGTCATGACTTTGTATGTAACATCGAAATAATTTATTTGCATAAAACATGGTAGGTATTAGGTAACAAGATGTTGAATAATATTAATAACATAAACAATTATTTTCTCCCTTCAGATGCGCAACAGGTTGGCAGCTTTCGGTGTGGACCCGTATGACCTGTCCATCATATCGCAGAGCGAGTGTCCTACCCATAAGAATGCCTCCGAAGGTGTCAACATCAACATCGACCCTGAGACCTTCTCTTCACACAACATCGGACAAGCTGTCAGGAAGACTGGCTCCGCTATCGGTGAGGAAATATTTATGTTCTAACTTTTAAAATTTTACCAGATATTGTAATTTAATGAAAGTGCACATTTAGAATTTCATTTGTACCAATTTAACTCCAAGCTTCTTAAAATTAGATTCGATTTATCGACTTAGATACTCTGTTGAAATCGATATAGCCCGGCAAACATCAAGACGAAGCCGATTACGTACCGAAGATTACCTAATTAAAAACAAAAACGTGGTGTAGGAAATTCGTATCGAGTCATCACGACCAAAACCCAAATATTATGTTACGATCATAATTATTATCATCATCATAATATCACGCCTTTTATCCCCGGAGGAGTAGGCAGAGGTGCACACAGAAGTGACACCCACTTTTCACTATTTATGTTATGAGTCCCATGTAATAGGGGGTGAGCCTATTGCCATATACCGGGCACATTTCCAGACTCCGTGCTACTACTGAGATATTTTTAAAATCTATTTATTTAAAATTTAAGATCATAATTATTTTGGTTCTTAACTTGAAATCACAATATTAACTCTTGCCATCTTCTTCCAGCTGACGGCGTAGAGTACGTGGTAGAGGCCGGTAAGACTGTGTACAACAAGGTGGCGAGCAGCAAGGAGGACCTCACCGAGTCTCCCGCCGGACGCTCGCACTCCGTCAAAGATGACGCCGAGTGGTTGCCTTGAACGTCCTAGACTTTGTTCTCAAGTACAAGTAGCTGTAGTACGAAACATCTAATAGACATTGACTGAAACTCCACTTTGTAAGCTCTATTTCCACTATCATAGAAGCGTTTTTCCATCGTTTCTAAACTTAAGTGTATAGGTAAGATCTTTGTTTTATACAACAGCAATAGTAGACTTAGTAAATAAATGTGCGTTATTTTTAGCCAGGCAATGTACCTACTAGAACCTAGAACGCAATATTTTTTACGTGTTTTATACAACAACAGTAGTTCGCAGTCTTAGTAAACAAATGTGCCTTAAGTTTTTGGCAGAGCAATAAAATTAAAAACCACAGACTAGACAAAACTTTCTCCCACTTGTATGTAGATGAAATGCATTTTATATTTTTATGTAATTAGAATGACTGAGATGAATACTCGTAAAGGTAGGTCTACATTATGAAGTCCATTCATAGAAATTAATGCCAGTGACTTTGTAAAGGTTCAGAAGGAATGACTTTTTTTAACGGTCGCATTTTTTCTATTTATCAAATGTTTTCAGTATGATGGACCACCTTAACGTGACATCAGTTTGATTGTGTACTCATGAAGAATTAAAGTGATTGTGTGATTTTAGTATAAGACTGTGAGACCATTATTTAATTTAATACAACAATAAAATTAACAGAATAAATCGCAATCAATTTCTATTATTTTTTGAATGGAACATGAAAATAAATTCACAGGACAATAATTTAAAAAATATTTTTTGCTCTTGTTACACTACCATTTAAAGATGTAGTTTGCTACGTTTCATTTTTTAAATAATGAGTCAATGAGATAGTCGATTAAGTTCTTTATAAAACCAAAGGATACCAACCACGAATGCCTTTCCAATGTATGATAATTATTGTACTGTTTCTAAATGCAATAAATAATTTTAAACTAGAGATGTAGTTTAATTTTGGTTTCATGCTCATAAGTTTTTTTTTATACCACGACGGTAAGCGGTTACCGTGGCCTATGTACGCCTGCAACACTTGGGGCATTAGATGCGTCTTGCCGACCCGTGAAACTATTCACTCCCCTCTTGAAGAACCCCATGTTGTAGCCCACTGCCATGGTAGGGATTTCATTCCACAATCGGAGGTCGGCAGTTCAGCACCGGCACAGCATGTCTCGTGTGTCATTAGTCTTATTTTTATGAGCCTAATCATTCGTCTGAATGTTGGTATTTTTAAAATAACATAAATTAGTTTGTCAAACTTGACGTCTTACCTCTGAACCATTTCTGACGACTTATACAGTAGGGTAAATTAGATATTTTATAATATTTTAAACTCAATTGATATTGATAGGTACTGTGAGTAATAATAGTAAAGGGTAAGACGGAGGTGAATTAATTAACAATATAAACAACAAAATCCATTGTAGGAACTGTATTTAAATAAATAAATGTACAATGCAACTGTTAGCGGAATGTTTACATTCCTTATTCTATTGAATGCATTTAAAAGCAACTTGTATGACTTGTACAAAACATTGTAATAACAAAACAGTTCAGATGTATCAATCAATATATATTTTTAGATTTTTTTTTAAATATAGATAAACCAGTATCTATACCATAATAGAAAACATTTGAAAACAATTAGTACATTTTGTTGTACTTGCAGTGAGTGAATGTAGTGTTGCCTCTTTTAAACCTAATTTTGTGAACAACAATGATAATTTTTAACCATAGAAATATTTTTGCATAGTTAATATTGATTGATGTTACGATGATAATATAATCTAAGCTTTTTTCAATGCTCTAACCACATAAAGGAGGCCATAAATTTAGATACGAAATTTCGTAAAACATTTCGCTGCATGGCTTATGACACCGTACAAATTCTTATTAAAATGTAACAAATAATGGCAAAAATTCAGTCACACGTTCCCAAAGATTAATTCAAACATTTTCTATAACTCCAGACAATTTAGCGCAAATAAGTCTTAATTTTTTCCAAACATGTAATTAAAGAGGTCAAAGTATGTTGGTCGACAGTGCTCCTAGGGCGTGCAGCGGTCGAGGAAGCGAGGGTACAGGCACACCTCGCGGATGTGGTGGCGGTCCAGCAACCAACATAAGAAGCGCTCCAGCCCCAGCCCGTACCCGCCGTGCGGGACTGTGCCGAACTTGCGCTGGTCTGTGTACCAGTAGTACGGGGAAGGGTCGATGCCCTCGCGCTTGTAACCTGAACGAATAAAACATATTTACAACTAATGAAATTTAGTCGTGATAACTAGATTCTTTGGTTTTGAAAATTAGTTAGATTTCATATTCTTCTGATAGCCCGTTTTAAATACAAAAATTGGTGCAATCTTAACAAAAAATTAACACTAGAAGCCCATTATCATCATCATAAAGTCTATGACCCACTTTTTCACTTTCAAAAGTCATTAAAACTTATCACTGACCTTCCATGAGCTCCTCATGGTCCCATGTCCTCATGGATCCGCCAACAATCTCCCCGACGCCCGGCATCAGTACGTCCACGGACTCAGTGAGACGTCGGTCTTCGGGACAGCGCTGCATGTAGAACGACTTGATCTCCGCCGGGAACTTGCATAGCAGGATCGGCTCGCCGATCTCGTCCGTCATCTTGCGCTCTGGCATTTCTGGGATGTCCTGGAAGATCAAAGAAAGTAAGATTATTAGCTTGTTTTAAAGTGTGTTCTATAGAGAAAAAATTAGGTGTCTCGATATGCATCATAAGAGAAAAAGAAATTTGCAAAAAAGTTACAATATAAGAAATTTTGCTCTAAATAATTGAACTTCTTTACAACCGGCTTTATATCTAACTAATTAAATTAAAATATATTGAAGAAGACACAATAAGTAAATGAAAATAAAAAATAATAAGGGTATTAAGTAATTAGTTTATAAAGTATCTGTACCTCTCCGAACTCGTAGAAAGATCCGTCCTCCTTGGTAATGTTGTGCTCGCGCAGGTACTCGATAGCCTCCGTGTACGCCATGCGCCTGAATGGCCTCTTAGGCCTCTGTAAGGTAAATACTAATATTTAGTATTTTAATTCAGTGTTACTTTGATCATCGCAAGTTTTAATTCATTGTTACTTTAGTGCAGAACAAAATAAGCCACAAACACTAATAAAGCATGGAATTTCAGTTTATAACCACATTTATCTACATTTAAATAAGGTTTAAAATCGAAATAAGGTTACCTTGAAGTTAGGGTTAAGTTCGTACACAAGATGTGCGTCAGGCGAGGCGAGTACTCTGTCCACTACGTCCACGACGAGGTCCTCCAGTCTAGACAGCAGGTCCTCGAACGTAATGAACGGACACTCCGCTTCCACGTGGCTGTACCTGGTTACAAACACAAAAAATCTCAATTGAATAAATATCAACTTTAAAGGCAATAAGTAAGCCATTGCTACTATAGAGCAAGGAGTCTCCCTTTAATATGTATAAACCCATTATTTGGCATGGATCCTATATAGTGCATATCAATTTGTTACAACAAATATTTCGAATTTAACGTTGATTTTTGTAGGACACTAGGTTACACACTAAGGTGTAGCTTTTATCCTTACTAATATTATAAATCTGAAAGTGAGTTTATTTGTTTGTTCTGCCTTCACGCAGTAACTACTAAACCGATTGCTTTGAAATTTTGCAGACGTAAAGTTCAAGTCCGGATTAAATAATAGGGTACTTTTTATCCCTGAAAAATTTGTTATTCCCGAGGGAAAACAAAAGTATTGGTATAGATGGCGCTGTGTGTATTGGTATAATAATATGTCACATTGGCTTTTCATCCTTTTGTGACGCGAATGAAGCCGCGGGTAAAAGCTAGTAGAATAATATATTAGTTTTTAAATTCACCAGGGCTACCAACTCGAGAACTATAATAGTATTCAACCGAGATGTATTAGATAAATATAAAAGTGTGTACATACTCAGCGAGATGTCTGCGCGTCCGTGACTGCTCTGCTCGGTATGACTGCGCGATGCAGTACACGTCCCCCAGCGTGGCCAGGCAGGTCTCCAGGTACAGCTGGGAACTCTGCGTCAAGTACGCCTCCTGTCTGGAATGGTGAAATCCATCAGCTTTAGTCATAACTAGCTCGTATTCAAGTTTTCTAAAGTAATTTACAAGATTTTTATCTAGTACTTAATTAGGGCTATTAAACTAACTGTAAACATATTACACTGAAGTTTTCTTTTATATTTGTACAATATTATAGGTAGCAATATGGCTCAATGACTTTTAGAAGTGAGAAGTTTCTCTGCTGGTTATTAATATCTCTAGATAATTCGTAATTATTTGCAACTACTATACAACTCTCTAATATCATACAATTAACTTTCAATAGTTAATGTATAGTTACCCGAAGTAGCTGAACTTGAAGAGAGTGCTGCCCCCCTCGCACTGCGTCTGTACGAGTGTGGGCGGCGTGACCTCGGTGTAGCGCCGCGACTGGAAGTGGTCGCGGAACGCTCGCGTCACGGCCGCGCGCGCGCGGAGCACCTTCGACGTGTTCTCGCCACGGATCATTATGTGCCTGGGGGAAGAAACAAATTTAAATTAAAACTTTTCTGAATCAAGCTTTTAAGCAGCTTGGCATTTATGGCCATACTAGCTTTTACCCGCGGCTTCGCTCGCGTCACAAAAGGATAAAAGTAGCCTATGTGACATAAACCAATACACACAGTGCTGTCTATACCAATAATTTCGTTTTCCCTCGAGAATATCAAATTTTTCCGGGATAAAAACCCTATTATTTAATTTAGACTTCTAACTTCACGTCTGCAAAAATTCAAAGCAATCGGTTTAGTAGTTACGGCGTGAAAGTGGAACAAACAAACAAACAAACAAACAAACTCACTTTCCCATTTATAATATTAGCAAGGAAGTAAGGATAAGGATTATAGTAGGGATAAACTAAATGTTTCTACAAAATTTTTGCTCAATGTGCTGAAGACATTTTTATCTACTTGAAAGTTTTGTTCCAAGATTCGACTTAATTTCAATTTATTCATAAGCCACATCTTTCATTTCTCTATCATCTCTCAAACGACAATGCATAATTAAATCTAGTGTTCACTTTTGGCTAGTTATGTTAAATCCACATTTTAAAATTCTATGGTATAATTGAGAGTTTGGTATTATAAAACTCAATAAAACTAGGCTAAACCTACAGGCTATAAAATCAGTTCATGCAAAACAATAACACATCACCAGATTATCAAAGCAATAAAGTGAGAACGACCATACTACATATGAATTTAATTAATATTATAAACCGCCATACTCATAGATATTTCACAATTATTTACAATATTCCAACCGTTCAAGAAACTGTTGAATGACTTTGAGTATAGCGGTAAGGGAAACAAAGTAAGTAACTAAGTAGTTACCTGTTGTCAAGCTGAACGTCAGGTAGAGCTTCCTCGTTGAGGATAGCGTCAGCTCCACCAGGAGGCGCCAGGCCAACCAGTTCCCAGTAGTCAGCTGTCAGTTCATGACCACCAGGTGCCTGGATAAAATGGAGAATATTTTACTGTAGAGTTTTAAATTACAAAGTCCCTGGTATTTTATAAAAAATATTTAGTAACCAGCTGTTTATGTGTATGTGTTGTACACATACCCATGTGTACTACACATAGGTATGTTTATAAAATATTAATAAAATAATTTTCAAAGAAAGTAAAGTGAATTTAAATTAAATTTTTTACCTTGAATTATGTAATAAAATTCTACAGTTACTCTTCCTATGAGTGAAAGTGACGTAAGAAGGTTTAATCACAAAGCAATTGTAAACATGAGTACAGAGCTATAATAATTCCACTCACCATTTTTCCTTCAGGCACAATTTCGAGTTTCCCATAGATAACAATAGAGGACTCTGTAGAGAGCACTAGTGCATTGTACGTCTGGCAGAGCAGACCATGCAGCACACACTGCAGGTATCCTGTACCATCTCGCAGTGTCAAGAATGTCAGTGCCCTGCCCTGTCTCCTCAGCCGGTGCACCCAGCCTTTCACACATATTCGTTCACCACGGTGCTCAGCAGCTGTAATATTTAAAACATTATTGATCAACATTTTTATTTTTCTTAACAAATGTGAATAAAGGTCATTCTCAAGTTGTCCATTTATACAAGACATGATAGTAACACAAATTTTTTATTTACATAGACCTGTTGTAATTCTTTTTAATCTACTGTTTACTTATTTTAAATTGTTTAGTATTTATTTTGAACGGAAAATAAGTAGTAACTATTAACATTTACAGGGGTTCATTGTAGTGTCTACAATCATTATGTTATTGTATTCACTGCATTATCTTTTAGTCACACAATTACAGTGCTTTTTATGAAATAAAATGATATTTATTTCTGCAAATAAGTTACAAAGTAACATATTTACATGTCAATCTTTAAATTACTAGATAAGGGCCAGCTTTACTTTGATGCAACACAATACATGTAAACCTAATCTGTAGAAGAGTGTACTCAATTACTTTATGTATAAAAAGAATAATAAAAATAGACACAAAATCTAGTTATGGTACTAACTACTTTTTATTTGTTTTCCCTATTCTTAGGAGAATTTCTTCACAGTGATATTATAATATTGTTCATTGATGTCTCTTATTTTCCCTGTTTCTAGGAAATTCCTATTCCTATTCCAATAAACAAAAAGTGTGAATAATTATTTGATTTTCTAAATGTCAAAGCCATGTGAGTCATTGTGTAATGTTTAGGGATTGTTACATCATTATGTAATATCCTCTTTATTACATTAGCATAGAAACGAAAGTTTCCACAAGATGTGCTGCAGTAGACACACAAATATTGAAAAGGATGCAACATAGGATGCTATCCTGAACACACGTTTATTGATAGACAAAATAAAACTATTGCCAGTGGGACTATAGGCCTACTGCTGCTGAATGTCCCTCTAGTGACAGATCACACATTATTAATGTATTATAAAAAAAATACATTACCAATATAATTGAGAATGATTTAATACTATTATAGATAATACAGTAATGCTATCAAATCTTTTAATCTTTGATGATAGAGCATAGTTATCTAACCCACTGAACATTTTTGTAAATCATCCCCTAAATTTGTTTATACAAAAGTAGTCTCTAAACATTGGAAATAAGGTCTATAATGTAGTTAGTGGAAAGCGGTGACCGGTGACCGCTTGGGGATATACGGGCTAAGTAGTTAGAACTTTCAAAAGAACCCAGTTATTTTTGTTTATATATTATATTTGTAACAATAAATTAATTCAGGTAATTATGATCACCAATATAACATTATTTTGATCACTAAGTAACCTTAATGTTTGCTTGATAAATAAGTACAAGATAATATTTATTAGGGATGTCACTTTGACATCTTAAATTAAGGCTCTATTATGTTTAAATAAATAAATAATCTATTGTTTGCTACAGGACTAGACAGAGTAGAAATACATATTAGCAACACATGAGTTCAAAGAAAATATACTCTAAGATAGATAAAAGAAAGTAATTTGTATGTTTTAGTTACTTCAGAATATTCATACAATAAAATTGTTTATTGCAATGATTTATACTCACAACATGGGAAACAATGTAATATTGTTTTTATCTACAACTTGCGGTTAAGACTGTGACCTATCACTGCTTCAATTAATTTAATAAATACATAACTATTACATTTCCAGTCCAATTGAATTGTATTGGTATTTTAAAGTTATCTTTGCAATAGAACAAACAGAATTAGATAATGATGACAGGAAATATTGAGTAATGTGTAAATAAAAGCCCGATTAAAGACTACATAAAGTAATAAGGAAAGAAATATGTACTAACCTTCTGCAATTTTCACAAAAGTAGCCTTAGGCAGGCTAGGATCTTCCTTGATGACGATTTTCTTAGCTTCCTCCAAGTTTTGCTGTCTTTTCTCGTTGGTTTCTTCGTCGGCTTTGGCCTTATCCGCCGCTTTGTAGCTCTCCCTTACCCAGATCTTGTGTATTTTCTTCAGCTGAGATTTTGCCGCAACTTCATACACTTTTGTGTCATCCTTTGCGTCAACATAAATTGTAGGGAACGGCTCTTTGCCTGCATGCCGCATTGCCTGCAAAATCGTCTTGAACGGCTTGGCTTCAGATCCATCGCCAGTCTCGTCACTGCCTTTCTTATCCGACGTGTAAATTTCTCCTAGAAATAGTGAAAGATATTGCTTACGTGTGCTTATAGGTTATAATTAAAATATGGATCGCTCAGATTAAAAACTTACCTATTGATAGATCTTCCATTGTAATGGTTATTAATTTACTTTAAGGTTAAAATTCTAAGTATTACTTAATTCACTGGGAATCACAACATAAACACTGCCGGGCGTAGTTTATATATTATTCGTGTTATCTTTCTAACTGCAGTGATGAAACTTATAAGAAACTTCACTCATTGCTCACGTCACTTCACGGTACACATGCGCTGTCTGGACATTCCAGGGTTGCTAGGTCTAAAATGAAATCTACTCACTAACTTATAATAAAAAGTTAGGATGATGCAGGATTACAGGTCCAAGGTGCTTAAAATATAATTTATTTTAAAAAAAATATTTGGTGAAGTTTTCTTTAACTGGCAGTGTTATCAATAGAGTTATATAAAAAAACGCATTAAAGTGAAAAAAAGAATGAATATCTTTCTTTGAGACTAAAAATACGTTTTAACAAAATATGAAATTTCAATAGTATTGTGTAACAATTATTTTTTGCTATTCCGTTTCTGATGATAGAACCTAGAAAATGGGTAATATTTTTACTTGGCAACAATAGTGCTATTTTATTGACAGCTGGTCAAAACAGATGTTTCTGTACTTTCTTGAGTTCTTGACCATTGGAAAAATTCTAATCCCAGTGTTGCCAGCTATAATATACAAGCAGTTAAGGAGGTGGGTGAGTTTTCATATAGACTTTGTAGGTATGTTAACTATTAAAACACTTCTTGCGTCGTCTATGTTATTATACTCTCCGAGGGATTTCCCTCTGCGTCAAAGATTTTCCAAATCTATGATTTTTTTCAGAGCCCTAGTGGGTATAAAAATAAATAAGTAGGTAGGTGGGTAGGCAGTAGGTATCTAAATAATTACAAACATTTTAACATTTTGCCTTAAGTATTAACTTAAGGCAAAATGTTAAAATTACTGTAAAGTACCTGCAGTAGAATCGCATATACCTACTTAGGTAGTTGGGTAGGGTAGACTTTCGTACTTTACTCTTTGAGTAAGGCTGATTCAGTGGAAACAGTGTTAGCGGAGAGAAAATTTTACTTAAAATATGTTTTATTGTAATCATTGTACACCACTCAATTACATTACATAGAACAATACCAATAATAAAACCGGTCATTGAGTAGGTAATGGGCGGTTTTATCGCACAAGGCGGTTTCTTGCAGGCAACCTTTGGATGAAGCAGTGACAGCAGTCTGATATTTTACTTTAAAATGTATGTTGCGTGGTGGACAGCGGGGCTGTGCGGTGTCGAGCTTAGTGGGGCTGTGCCGGGTGGAGCAGAGCTTTGCGGTGTCGAGCTTAGTGGGGCTGTGCCAGGTGGAGCAGAGCTTTGCGGTGTCGAGCTTAGTAGGTTTGTGGCGGGTGGAGTGAAACTATGCAGTGTCGAGCTATGTAGAACTATGCTGTGCTGGAAAACAAAAGGTATTGACAGTCCTGTTCAACTCACCTCCGCTCAGCTCCGCTTAAACAGGTACACAGCTCAGCTCTGCGCTGCTTTCCAGGAAACACCTACCGTTTCACATGGCCATGCTCAACTTTACTTCACGCGGCTCCGTGCTGTGGAAATGCACCCTATGACTATTAATTTATGACACATTTTACACGTGTGATGTCACTGGTAAAAGACAATTACATGTAACATGAATCATTACTCCTTGTAGGTACTTCATTTTATGTAAATAATATAGACGATTGTATTGACCTAATACGTAAATATTTATTAAAGTACCGGTAAACGAACTGTTTCTGGATAATTAGTTATTTAGGTGGTTCTAAATTATCGCTCATGTTAAAAATAAACATACCTACCTAATAAAAACATTGGAAATTTTCCTGGTGGACTTTTTACGGCATAGGGCCACAAAGGGGTAGACGAATCACCTGCAAGCAAGTGTTGAAGTTGAAGTGTTGCAAGTGTCCATGGACACTAGGAGTTATAAGTACGTTGCCAGTCATTGGGACTGCGAATTTGGGAGCTGAGGCCTTGGGGAATGAGGTTAGGGGGAATGAGCCTCTGATAACAACACTCATACAACGAAACACAATGCGATTATATTAACCATTAGATGATCCATGTGCTCGTTGGTCGGCTTATCCCATATTAAGTGTGGGAGAGCCAGGCTTCGGCACGAACGGGCCGGCTCGACCGGAATGATACCACGGCTTCACAGAAAACCGACGTGAAACAAAGCTTGTGTTGTGTTTCGTCGTGTGAGTGAGGTTACCGGAAGCCCAAGGCCGGTATCGCACTTGCAACGGCCCTGGTGTTCCAGATGTCCAAGATTGGTTAACATCAGGTAATCCGGCAACTTGTATATCGGCTTATACAATAAAAAAAAGAAAAATGTAGCTAAAGAACAAAAAAAATAGTATTTTTCAAAATTTTGGAAACGGTAAAATTCAAACGGAGACCTTGTGATCCACATTAGTGCGCTACAACTGACTATAATTGATGTATTTGTATCATTACCCTTCCGGTTGTGTATTTATTGTGGGTTTATTAGGTACGCAGTCGTATTTTTTTCTATCCATATAAATAGAAGACACATGCATTAGATGCCACATTCCCCGTGCTAACACGGGTGACTGGCTGTCTGTACAAAAAAAAAACAATTTAAAAAAGGAACTTAAATATCCTATACCTATCATCTTTCTTAAAAACCGCAACATCTTTAAATCTATCAGACTATTTGCAGCGATCGCATTTTGTCCCCCAAAGGATAACAATTTGCAACATATCATTGCAAATATTACAAAATAAGATGCCGGTACCTATTCAGACTGCTTTTACAGCGCAGACAAATTGGAATCACATAGAGAAATGGTGAGTGGCAGAGTGACAGAATGGTAGAATCAGAATGTCGTGTAAAATACCTACTTATATCGATAACTTCCTTCTCTCCCTCTTCACGTATTAATCTAATGAATTATTTCAGGGACTGTTCTGCTTACCAACGTGTCCGCAGTAAAAAGGATGACGTCACTACTGACCTCATTTCACGACAAAGAAGCATGACGTTACATACATTGAAGTTTGTTCCACATTTTCAAGTGGACCAACAAGTTAGTATTTCTTACGGGTACATCTAGAGATGGAAATACAAATATCGTAAGTTTTTCGTAATTTTAGACGATTACAAAAACCTTACGATATTTGTTCTTACAAAAATAGTCTCTAATCATCGGGAATAAGGTCTATAGTGGAGTGAGTAGAGGGGGATTTAGAAGTGCTATTGCCACCTGGTGATAATAATTAGCAACAACCCGTGATAGTACTCTACTAGATTATGGGCTTTCCTTTGCTTAAAGGGTTTTATACTTACTCCAAGTTTGGTAGGCAGTTACCTCAGCCTCAGTAGCACCATATCTACAACACCGGAGACATCACAAAAGTCTAGATCACACAAAATCAAAACGTGGTGTGATAGACACACTTTTTTGAATTCTCTTTTGTTTCAAAAGGTACCAAATCTCCGCACAACTGATAGTATTATTTTTGTATTGTAACTTTCGTGAGACATACTAAATAAATTATTATGTTTTCGGCTTACTCACGTAGTAATTCGACGAGGAACTCGACTAGTCTAGACACGACTCGAGTAGCAGCGCGACAGTCGCCGCGTCGCGGGTCGCGAAATGCTGCTCATGAATATGAGCCTCTAGCATGGCTTGAAACTAGTCGAGTTCCTCGTCGAATTACTACGTGAGCAAGCCGAAAACATAATAATTTGATAGTATTATTTTTTAACAAAAATTTATTCTTCTAGGTTTCAACATCACTGCAAGTTTACCTTCAAATTGTCGCTGAAAACATGAATAAGAACTCCATCAAAGTGGTCGGTATTAAAAACAGCCATATAAACAGTTCTGTGTTTGTTGAAATGAAGAAAATTGGTTCTTATGTCCATGGAATTAAAGTTCTTTACGAAGAATTCAATGAATCAGATCTCAAATCCTCAATAAATGGTATTGGCAGGTTTCTTAAGAATGCTGACCTAGCTATCGTCCGTAATTTGTCCACTGATGAAAATGTAAGTACATAATGGTTTAGGTACCTATTATAACAGAATGTTTCATATTTTTATGGATACAATACCATCGTTCGATGTAAGTAGGTAGTGATCGTAAGACAAATTTAGAACTTTAATGTGCTTTTAGAATAACGTTCACTAATTAATCAGCTCATTTCCTTTACCTACTTTCTACTTCTGAAGTTTACATAGCACGATTTCAATTGCCAACAGATGTGCCAACTGCTACACTTCACAGTTCAACGAAACTGCTTCGTAGTGAGCGAAGAGGACAATCTGTTCGGAGGTCGAACCCGTCCGAAGTCTTTGTACCATACGGTCTGTGCTCATAGTAATGCGCACACACGGCTGGACCTGGTGCGTTGGCGTCCGCCGCTGGAAGCAATGCCTACGACTGCTATCACAGTGCCCCAAAACCTCGATCTCTCTCTTCTCTCTGTTGCACGAGCGAATATCCCATCACAACACCGTCTCCTCATAGTATGTGCCCACCCAGCCCCTCACAACCTCAGAAGGCACATCCAAAATTGGAGAAAGGACGCGGAACGTAACAACGTATATTTATTAACTGTCAATAAAAAAGAAGAAAACAATTTCTTTATAGACGACTTACCGGACATCGATTTGGCTTTTACCGTTTTTGATCACGTGAGTATACTTTAAGATATGGTTGTGAGAATTGTGACTGGACTCTGGACAGATTATGTATCTGGTGAGCCTTTTTCTGCTTTAAAATGAACAATGTTTGATTTTAGGGTAACTGGGGTGGAGAATATTATGTACCAGTGCAGAATAACGCGAGAGTGTTCAGTAATGTGACGTTACAAAGCACACAAGTAGGAGATGTCAGTTCCTTGGAGTGGGTCCCTGCTTCCGACTCGTTTGAAACTGGAATTCCCGTAACCGTACGTACGATACTACATAATAATATGTTTTTGAAATAGAATGAAAACAAATAAAAATTAAAATGACTGCCTTGTTGGCCGAGTGTTCTCAAGTGTGACTGCCGGTGTGTCTCCAGTTCGATTCCCGGGTCGGCCAAAATATTACCGGGTTTTAAAAAAAAATTTCAGTGGTAGCACGGAGGCTGGATTTGTGCCCGCTATATGACAATAGGTTCACCAGCTATTACATGGGACTTGTCGCATACATAGTGAAAAAGTGGGTGTTACATTATACATACAGTGGCATTAAGTGCCGTAATGTGCACCTCTGCTTACCCCTTCGGGGATACATAACATAACATCGGCGTTAAAATAAAATACATCCTGTTGGTAATATTTTACAATGTTTTATTTTAGGTTCACTACGCTGGTTTAACCAACACTGATTACAAAAAAGCTGCTGGAGCCAAATCCGCAAAACATAACAAAGAAAACAGTTATGGCATGGATTTTAGCGGAGTAACTAAGAGGTAAACATTTAATAAATCATTTAGGACCTATTACAATCTAAATACATGACTTAGGTAAGTAAGTTGTTACGAGGTCGTACGAAAGAAAGAGGTTTAAGCGTATGATACTAAACATGTATGGTGTAGATTTTCATTTTCTGGATAAGAATATATCAGTAATCACTATAGGAATAATTAGTTTAGTCTTGGTGTTGAAGTAAAACGATGCTAAAATGAATATTTCCGATGGTAGCGGTGAGCGCGTGATGGGTCTGGTCCCTTACGGCGCGGCGAGCAGCGTGGTGCACGCGCGGCCGGAGCTGCTGTGGCCGGTGCCCGCGCACTGGACGCTCGAGGACGCCGCCACCGTGCCGCTCGCATACGCACATGCACTCTACTGCTTGGTGAGTGATTAAAATTACCTTTATCACACATCTTCGTCCCATAGAATCAGGCAGAACTCAGACCCTACAAAGCTTTTTTTTTAATGGAACAAGCCCGCCACAACCTCCCAAAACCGCTGCAACTCCTGTAAGCCAGGATCTACAGTAGATACAACGCTGAAAACACCGGAACACTGAATTCCGGCGCGTCCCAGGGACATGAGTAACTGCCTTGGTTCCCGCAACGAAGTGAGTCAGAAGATATTATAAGAGGAGAAGAAGAAAAAACTATGGTTTCCACTTCCCTCGGTGAATTACTGCAGGAGACATCAAGGAGACTGCAAAGCTTAGTTAATATTAATATTTTGTAGGGGTTTTTGATTTTCCAACATCCATAAGGAAAGTAAGGAAGTTAAGCACACTGTTACTTACTACTTCTGGTCCGCATATCGATGTGTCGTTAACTTATATAACTGTTTTATTCCAGGGCATCAAAAAGTCAGCAGACTTATCACCTGAAACAACTGTGTTTGTGCACAGAGGCGATGGGACCTTTGGCCAAGCAGTTATATCCATCGCCCTAGGACACGGCTGTCGAGTATACACGACAGTCACTCACAGGAGAAACAAGTATTTCTTAATGAAGCTGTTCCCGGAATTACAAGGTATTTTGTATCTTTAGTACGCTTATTTATCCTTACTAATATAATATTATAAATCTGATAGTGAGTTTGTTTGTTTGTTCCACCTTCACGCCGTAACTACTCAACCGATTGCTTTGAATTTTTGCAGACGTAAATTTAGAAGTCCAGATTAAATAATAGGGTACTTTTTAACCCGGAAAAATTTATATTCCCGAGGAAATACAAAAGTATTGGTATAGATGGCGCTGTGTGTATTCGTATATGTGACATAGGCTACTTTTTATTCTTTTGTGACGCGAGCGAAGCCGCGGGTAAAAGCTAGTTTTGTTAATAAATACATTATTTACTTTCACATTTTATATAGTAGATACTATTAAATAATACCTAGGTTTGGGTACAGTTGACTGCCTCGTTGGCCGAGTGGTCGCAAGTGCGACTGCCGGGCAAGGGGTCTCGGGTTCGATTCCCGGGTCAGGTAAATTATTACTGGGTTTTTAAAAATCTCAGTAGTAGAACGTAGTCTGGAAATGTGCCCGGTATATGACAATAGGCTCACCCCCTATTACATGGGACTCATAAGTCATAACATAAATAGTGAAAAGTGGGCGTTGCATTGTACAGTGGCATTAAGTACCGTAATGTGCACCTCTGCCTACCCCTTCGGGGATAAAAGGCGTGATGTTATTTTATGTTTGGGTACAGATAATTTCATATATTTATTTTATCTGTAGCCGTGGTCGTTCCACTACAGGGTAAAGGCCTCCTTCCACTCCTCTCTACGCTCTTCACCTCATTCCACTCGCTCTCTTTTGTTTTCAGCCGACCACATCGGCAGTTTAAGAGATCGTAACTTTGTTAATACGGTCTTGAACGACACCAAAGGAAACGGCTGTGATATTGTGCTGAGTTGCGTTAAAGGAGATATGAGAAAAGTAAGCATACTATACAGGGAGTCCCTGAAGTCGAAATTTAAAAACTATGTGACTTAGAATTTTTATTATATCTGTTAGAGCCTTGCCGATCACCTGGTGCATTTTGATCGTCGACTTCAGGGACACCCTGTAAAATAGAATCATAAGACTACTAAGTTCGGGAATCAAGTAATTAATTCACAAACAGTATCGCAGTGTTCTTTAAAGACGACATAAAAATAAAATGAAATTACGAATTTATTGTACAATCTGACGTTGAATCTTTTCAATTTCCAGACTTCAATACTTTGTTGTGGAATGGATGACATTTGCTTGGACTTTTCTCAACTCCACAACCCTAATGAGGACAATACTTGCGGAGTATTCAATCTCAAAAGGACGAGGTCTTATTCTGCCATTGATTTCACAGCAATGCTTGCCAATGATAATACGGTAGAGAAGAAGGTAAGTTCTCATTGCAATACGAAGCAAAATTGGTGTAAGTTCACTATTGTCTGCATTGTTTACGTGTCATTAAGTATTAAAATTGCATTGAACGATATCGACGAAAAATTATTTATTCAATTGCTTCTACTATTATAAGTATTTAATCAAAAATGGCTGTACGTAAAATTAATAGCAGGACTGCTATTTTCTGAACAAATTAATTTGTTAGTTTCCATTTTTTTTATTATATTTGAGTTTAAAAATATATAATATTTCATAGATGTTACAACAAATGTTGAGCGAAGGTATACACAAGGGCTACGTGCGCCCGTTGCCGCGCGTGTCGTACGCACCGCACGCCGTGTCGCGCGCGGCCCGGCTGCTGGCGGGCAGCACACAGCGCGGCAGTGTACTATTGAAAATGCAAGAACCAACACTTCAAACACAGTTCAGGTAGGAATCTTCCTAATACCCAAATCCTTAATCCTTCAATCCCTAACTCCAAAAGGCCAGCCACGCATTTGTAACTCTTCAGGTGTTTCGGTTGTCAGGCGGCGCTGACCATGAAGTGATCCGTGCTTTCATTTGCTGGCCTATCTCATAGAATGGCATTTTTTACCAGAAATTACAATAATTTTAATGTTGTTTCGGAACATTACTTGAATGCCAATTCTTATTTCAGACTTTCTTGTAACCCACATCAAAGTCAACTTATAATTCTAAGTGAAGAAAGACTTGGACTTGAATTAGTTGACATGCTGGTGGCACGAGGTGCTAGGAGACTGCATATTCACACCAAGACTCTCACGTCTGCAACGCTCCAATTCAAACTAAGGTAAGAATTACTTAGGTATATGTGCATGCTCCTTTTCACCTCTTTGATGTCACAATATTCTTATTTATAGACTTTTTAATGCTTTGGACATGTCGAAAGCTTTGATTCTAGCTATTGTAATGCATTTTATAAAGATAACTATTGTTTCAAACAATCCCTTTGCCTTTAGGATGTTGGAGAAGATGGGTGTGGAAGTTCAAACATCATCAGATAACTTGGAACATGAGAGTGATGTAGTGTTACTACTTACTGACGCTGTCAGCATGGGGCCGGTACAGGGTGTGTACGTGGTCACCAATGATGATGACAAGTTCGAGGAAAGAGTGCTCGCTCATCTAGATATAGTGTCCAGGACATTTTGCCGTAACCTGAGGTGAGATTCCAGTATTAACTCTAGGTCGATTAGTTTCTACTTAATAAGTTTCAGATATTATTCACCCAGGTGGAAAGCAATGTCAATTGTTTTTGTGTCTTCATTGATTAAGAGTATGTTTATAAAAAGTTTATATAATTATGTTTTAGAAATTTAGCCTTCATCAATATTGGGAAGACAACGTATGGAAGGGAAACGTATTTAACACACCATCAATATAAGTTACCAGCCAAAATTATATCTCTACTTTATGCTATTAATGTAAGTATTTCGACATTATTATCTTCGAACCAAAAACAAAATTAGTACACCAGTTTAGCGATCAAGAACATATAAAGAAACTATTATTTGCATGATTGAAATGAACGAATGGAGGGATTTGAAAAGTTAAGTTTATGAATGGAGTTTATTTTGCAGGATATTACTGTTAACGATGCAATGGGTGCTTTGGAAGCTGCACTGTGTAGTAATCACACAGTGATTGTAGCTCAAGAAGAGGAATTACAATACCGCAATCAACTGGGAAAGGTTGCAGAATTTGCATGTACGTAAATTTCAGTTATTAAGTTTATAGTACTTATACCCAACAGTTGCTGAACACCCCAATCAAGATAGATAGTGATAAAAAGAAAACAAAAAATGATTGATAGTCCGACAAATATACCTCTAGTAGTAACGCGCGCCTTAAAGAGCTACCGACCACCACTGACGGAGCCCAAGAGGGCTGATGTCGATACGGAGCTGCGGAGAACGTAAAAGGTTACCAGGGCTCTGGTTCGCAGTGCAGAAGTAGGAACAGGGTAGTTTCTAGTCAGTAAGGGTCTGACACTTCGTCGCACCTCACCCAGGCGTGAGAAGTCATTCGATGATTTTCCCTCCTTAAAAAAAGACGCTCTGATGAGTGGTATCAAACAAAAATAATTATACTATCTTGCGTGAAAGCATGATGTAGAGCTCAGCTTAGTTAGTTGACCAAACGATTTCTTTGCCACTGCAAAGCGTACTTTCATACAGGTTCTCGTACTTGAATCACGTCTTTAAACCTTCTTGTCTACAGATGCGCCTTTGACACAGAGTAAATCACACACGACTACATTACAAGAAGTAAGAATTCGAGACGGAATACAAATGGATGAGGATGTCAAAAGTCTGACGAAATACTTTTCGTGTGTGGACACGGACGAAGTACAACAATCTTCAAATATTGTAACAATGCCAGTACCGGTCGACGCTGATTGCTTGGTAAATATGTATTCAATCTGCACTTTCCTCCATTATGGTTTAAGCTAAGTACTACCTAAGTGAATTTGAACATTTATGAATTTAAGAACGTTTATGTTTCAGTGTCCAGAAGAATGCGACTCTAACTTGACGTATATCTGCAGTATATGCCAGCCATAATAGAAGTTGCTCCTGCTGTAGATAGATGACGCGATATTATAGCACTACTAGGTCGCACTCTCATATTATAAGTACATAATTAACTACACCGTACCTTGATACTTATCATTAATCCTCATTATAGGAACCAATTATTAAAGTATTTTTATCTTCTACTGTCTTCCAAATGGTTCTAATAAAATTAATTTTGAAAAACGTTTTTTATTTATTACAAACAAATTTTAACAAACTTCGAACAACACAACGAATTGAAACTACCCTCCATAGTAACAAATGATAGTCATGAATAGATCTTTCTAACGACATACGTCTGGTCGATATTGGTCGGGAGGTACATTTCCCATACATGTTTAGGGACCGGAACAGTGTGGAAAGTTCCCTAAGATCGGAAAAGGAGGATCCTCCGACCAGGCGAGGTGATCGTGCCTGGCGGGCTTTCTGCCCAACAGTTGTTCGTTGGGATTTTCTATCCGTGTTAAATCGAATGTAAACTTCGCATGTGCGATGTAGGATTTTATGACGCCAGCCTTTGACTTGTGTCACATGTTTGCCCGTCATCTTTAACTAGTGTTCTGTTATCATGCCTCCATGCATCGTACAGATTGTTCCTCAAATGGTCTTTTTAATCACTATAACTTGTATCTTCTGCTATGTTTTGAAGCAAAGTGTTATGTTCTGTAGAATTATTGGAGTAACCAGACATAGTTATCTTCTAAAGTTTTGAATCTCTTGCTTTTTTCTAAAATAGCTTATTGCAAGTTGTTTCGTTCTGGACTAAGGCCAGAAACAAGTTTTTTGGCAGCGGCAGTTGCGGTAGTTTTAGTAGTGGGAGTAGTAGAAGAAGTAGTAACATTAGCGACGGTGGGAGTAGTACTAAGGCTTGTCATAGAATGATGATTTCTTTGTCGTTGTTTTCGTTTCCGATATCTTCGATGCTTGCGTTTTTTCATTCGGTTTCCTTTTTTAATTTGATGCTTGTAACTTTTTTTGCAGAACACAGGTCATTGACATGATGTTCATGATAAAATACACTCTCCGTCCTATCACGGTTAGGTTCATTGCTTCTATCTGAAAATGCTCTTTGTCTAAAACGATGACATATATTTATTTATTATATACACACATAGGCACATCTTACATCTATCATTACAGGTTTAACCTATTGTGATAGAGAAGCTACTTACATTAAACAAAACATGCAAATAAAGTTCATAATAGCAATATCCTTAAACGAAATATAAATACAAGCAATAGTTAATATATCGATAGAAGAAACTACAATACTACATTTTTGTAATAACATATCACCGAATATTATTATGCTATACAACATGTAACGTAATTAACGCACACCCTCAAACACCCCAGTTAGAATATTATGTTATAATCATAATACATACACAAAATTTTTTATTTAACATGTATATGCATCCTTACTAGTCTTGTCATAAGGTTTATTTTTCTTTATTTTGTATTGAATGATAGAATTTGTATGAATACAAATAAAACTGCGATTTTAAAAGTCTTATTGCTTTGACTTACGGTCTATTTCGATTTGTTTTAGCAATACAGGGTTAATATGACAATAATTTCCGTAGTTTTAATTATTTTTGGGATAAAAAATTACCTATACTAAAAATTATATAAATCGACTTAGTTAACGATTCTAAACAAACTATTTTCAGGATGTGCGTTATTTAAGTTACATGTTGTATATTATTATGCTTCGGGTAACATCTTCCGTGTAAAAGATTAGTTTTTTACCTGGTTTATTTTAGAAACCTACCACACACTAGTAATTTTTTCTTGGGTTCGTTTACATACATACAATTTTACATACACGTGACACCCTGACCCGGAATAACAATTTGTGGATCACACAAATCGTTGTACCGTGTAGGAATCGACCGACCCACACGCCACGTTGCCCAGTCAGCAGCCACCACACCAACCGATGTCATTGCATTGTTTCATCATAGTCGGGATAGTCTCGTGAATCCCGATGATGTCTTCTTATCCTTTCTTTATGATGTTGATTTAATTTCTTTAGTATTCTGGGATGTTTATGTAATAGGTGTTGGACAATTTTTTGTAGTTCATGCTCCATCTGGTCGGATAGTTGAGTTGTGGCCTGGAATTCATATAAACTTTAAAACCTGTTTCGTATCACGTTGAGCTCAAGTTTTACAGCAACATTACGGTTTGAATGCGGGTAAGTGCGATATCGAGTTAATTTGTTAAGGGCCAATTTTACCACGTTTGTTTGTTTACGAGTGATAAATTTTAACTGAGGAATAACGTTGAATATTTGACAATTCTTCCATAGGTACTAAAAACTGTCAAATGTGAATTTTATTGTACAGTTAAGAATTAACCGATGAATGAAAAATCGGCTCAACTGTTACATAATAATATACCTACCACTATACTGAGCATAAAATTCTCTAAATTTTTGAGAAACTTTGTTGATAAGACGAACTAATTTTTTTTGTTCTTCTGTACCCTCTATCCTTTGATACGGAGCTAGGAAGGCACCTAACATCCGTTCGCATACTTTTTCCGGAGTTTTTCCTTCTGTGGGAGGCAAATTATAACTTGAGATTGAAAGAAAACTTATAACTGTATATGTATCTACATATAGAACTAATTGGTAAATATAACTAGGTACATTTAAAAAAAGCCTCCCCTCACGCTTCAATTGTCTCTAGGGCGGTGTCCCTGCTGCCACGTACCTCACCTCAGAAGTCACTCTCGGGGCCTTGAGTCTTAAGTTATTGTGTTTCAGTAGGTACTTTGTCATATACATTCATTTATTATAAAGTATAATTTTCGCACATTTCGTGATGAAGCTTAGGTTGGGACTTAGTTTGGAGTTACTTAGGTATATGAAAAATGAACATTGATAAAGAAAGGTATACTTTTAGTAAATTAATGTAAATGTTTGTAACAAACAAGAGTCACACTAAAGTCACAGATAACAGTAAGTATAGATCTATGTATGTACAATGTTCAAGGTGTGATTTAATGTAAATGTTTCCCTTACCCTGAGGATATCGTTCGACTACTTCGAGCGATGCAAGGAGTTCCTCCCCTTCTTGTTTCGTAAACAAGCTGTCGTAGAAATCAATGAGTTCTTTATATTCACCATTAATTGTATTTTTGTTTTTAATTACACTTTGGACCAACTCCATCATATCTGTAACATAGTGAGAGGAGAGGACATAAAGGTGATACATTTTCTTAATTATACTATGAAAATGTTTAAAAAAGGGTTTTCTTTCATTTTATTTTTTACTTTTTAGTTTTTCATAATAATATTCGAGTTTTTCACAAGTTATTTGTAACGTTTCTCACTTAATTCATTTCTTTTAATGCATCAACATTACTAGGTTTCTTCGAAGTCAACTTGGCAGTCAAGTACTTCGAAGACCTACTCAAGCTTATGCCAACCTAACTTAGCTTATGGCCAACCCAATTGACCAACAGCAAACATCTGTAGCGGAATTATGAAGTTCCTGTGGCCACCTTCCAGTTCCACCATTAAACCCTGTTTTTTTAAGGAGGGAAAATCATAGGATGACTTCTCCGGCCTGGGTGATACGGGAGGGAGTATCAGACTCTTACTGACAAAAAACCACCCCGTTCCTACAGCCCCAGTAATCCGTTAAGTCCTCCTCGGCTCCGTATCGGCATCAGCCCTATTGGACCCCATCCGTGGTGGTCTGATGACTATTTGAGGTGAGCGACGTACGCTCGGGTCTGGTTCTGGTCGAGCGGCTAGCTACCATGCTCACCGTTTTTTTACCAGATTGAGTTATACATTATTTAAATGTACTTATATACCATTTTTCTCTGAGATTTTTTTTCTCATTCAGTCTGTATACCTCTATACCTATGAAATGCAGAAAATCGATCAAAAGTGGTAACTACTTACGACCAAAAAATTATCGGCCACAGTCTCTTAAAAAAGGTAAATTTTTAATGAAAACTAACTTTTTTTTGTAGTTTTGTTATGATGTGGTGAACATTGTATTTAAATCAATAATTGTAAATGGTTTGTACGCCTTAACATATAAAATGCATTACTTAAACATAGTTTAAATTCTACGTCGTAAATCCTGCGTAAGACCTGCCTTTGGCTCCCGCGACTGACGTTAGTGTATGAACCGCGAATTGAAAGAAGCACTTAACGACCAACACATATAATGAGATATATACATGTAATGTTACAAAAATGAAGTTCAACGTAAAATGACATAAAATATTGGTTCTGCGGAAAAGGAAATAAGAATTTAAAATGAAGCCATGCTAACGTAGCCATATATAATTTGGGGTGCGGTGCCAGAAGACCTCCCCGTGGTGCACCCTGGGTGCGGGCGACAGTCTCCCTAGCGGGGGTGATAGGGTTGGAGTGACTGTCGCCCGCAGCAGACTTCTGGACTGGGCGGGCGAACCCGATAGGGTTCTGGAGGCGGCGGGCTGTGTGCGGAGGCTCATAGCCCGCGCTTCCGAGGGGCGTTTCTCCGCCCGTCTCTCTGGACATAGCAGAGAGCGTGGCGTAGAGGCAAGGGCGGTGCTCGTTGTGCACTCACCCTGCCAGCGAGCAGCATCGGGACACAAGCTGTCCCCGATTGCAGCCGTCGATATCGTAATCCGTAAGGAGGTCACGGTCATGTTTTGTGACTCTGAACGGGACGAGGGTCTTGGCTTGGTCGCCCGGACCGCGAGGAAGATAACCTCTATAAAAAATTCCTCCAATACTAAGTTCTGGTGCGCGGCGAGAGTATGCATGGCTGAGGAGTAGTGTCAGTCGCGAGCGCACCCCCAGCTAGGGGACCAGTGGAACCTCTAGTTGGGAAACAAATGAACACTTACCCAGGTACAGGGGGCACTGCCTGGGTGGACCGAATATTTCCCCCATACTCGTGGGAACTGTATGGAGAAAGCAAAACCTAAAAAACAAAACCACAACTGTCGGAGGAGGAGAGTGCAGGTGAGCTTGGCTCACCTGCAGACGTAGTAGAGGGGAGCCCAAGGGGCTCTGGCGCCCGTGGGGAGACGCTGGACACATCTAGCATGCCCCACACACGGGCATCAATTACGATGGTGTCGGACCCTGAGTCCGACACATCACTGGCGGATCGGCTGAGCGTGAGCTCGAAGGGCTCACGCCGTCGCGTGACGGGGACGTTTAAGCGTCCCAGGCTGGAGGAGGACGCTTCGTCCCCGTCCTCCGGCGCGCAGGCGCCTCCCCCTAAAGTCCCAACGGCGGCGCGGGGTAGGGGCGGCAAGGGCGGCGGTCGCCGGAAACCGGCACCAGTTGCCTGCGTGGAGTCGGCCGAGCAGCTGGCTGCGGAGGGCAGGGCTCTCTCGAGCGCTGCCCGTTCAGAGTCCTCCGCAGCCGAGATGTCCGGCGTGGAGGTTTCGGAGGGCGAGTCGGGCTCCGAGAGCGCGAGCGGCTCCGGGCACCTCCGACAGGCCATCACGGAGGTGCTCCATAAACTGGCTATGGGGAAATCCCAGCCGGTTAGGCTCTCCCTCCTCAGGGCGGCGGTGGCCACTATCACGGAGGCAGCCTTGGAGCAGTGCGCGGTGCCCACTGCAGAAAAGGTGCGCTCCGAGCTGGGCGAGATGCGGCGGGAGCTGGCGCGCTTGGCGGCCTCCAATGCGGCCCTGGAGGCCGAGCTGCGGACGGCCAGGGCCGAGCTCGCCGCTGCTCGCGGCAGTCTCCCCCAGCCCCCGGCGGAGTCCGACGTAGTCGGACTGCTGCGAGCGGAGATGGCTGCCTTCCAGCGACGTTTTGACGTGCTGGAGGGCAGGCTTTTGCGCCCCCCGCTCGCATCGAGCCGGGCCTCCCCGCCCGCGGCATCGGGCTCATACGCGGCTGCTGTGGCCAAGCCTCCGACCTCCACTGGTCAGGCTGGCCGCGGCCCCCAACCGCCGGCAAAGGCGCGGGCGCCTCCTCCCGCGAGGCCCTCGGCGCCCCCGCCGGCGCAGACCCCAGCTGCGCCGATGGCGCCTGCGCCCATGAGGCGCAAAAAGAGGAGGGACACTCCAGCCCGGCAAGCTGGAGTTGCAGCAGCGGCGGCAGAACCCGCCCCGCGAGTGGAGGACGGCGGCGGTTGGCAAATCGCCGGCGAGGCGAGGAGAGTCGCCAGGGAGGGCCGAAAGCGCCGCAAAAAGGCGCAGCGGCAGCGACGGCAGCAGCAGCGCAGGGAGAAACGCGCTGCTGCCTTGCTCCTCGCCCCTAAGACCGCGGCTGTAGTTATTACACTGCAGCCCGAGGCGGTCAATAGGGGCGTTACCTATGGTGACGTCCTCGCCAAGCTCAAGGGGGCGGTAACACCTGCGGAGTTCGGGGCCCCGGACGGGTTTGCGGTCAAGGTGACCGCTACCGGAGCCCGTCTACTGGAGGTCCCCGGCGCGGCCAGTGGCCCGTCGGCCGACGCCCTGGCTGAGAGGCTTAGGGCGTGCCTCGGGGCAGACGAGGCCCGCGTGTCCAGGCCCACCAAATGTGTGGATGTCCGGATATTGGGCCTGGACGACTCCGTCACGGAAAGTGAGGTGGTGGCCGCTGTGGCCAGGACGGGAGGGTGCCCTGCTGACCAGATCAAGGCGGGCACCATCCGTCCGGACAACTCGGGGCTGCGCACGGTGGTGGTGAGCTGCCCCGTCACAGCGGCCAAGAAGCTGAAGGAGGGCAAAAGGCTCTTGGTGGGATGGGTCTCGGCGCAGGTAAAGCTGCTCGAGACCCGGCCTCTGAGGTGCTACCGTTGTCACGTGGGGGAGCACGTGAGCGCCAAATGCACCTCAGAGGTGGACCGCAGCGACTGTTGCTTCCGCTGCGGTCGGCCCGGTCACAGGGCCGGCTCCTGCACTGCCCCGCTGCACTGCAACGCATGTGCGGCGGCTGGCAAGCCGGCCAATCACCGGGTCGGGAGCAAGGGCTGCTCCCCTCCTGCCAAACCCAAGGGCAAAGGTAGGCCCTCCGCCACCCCTGCCGTTTCCGCCGCCGCCGCCGCCACTGCCGCCGCAGTCGCCGCTGCCGCTACTGAGGAGATCGGAATGGACTGTCAATAATGGCTCCATTCCGCCTCCTCCAGGCGAATATTAACCACTGCGCCGCTGCTCAGGATCTCCTGCTCCAGAGCATGGCGCAGTGGTCGATCAATGTCGCCGTGGTCTCCGAGCCGTACTTTGTCCCGCCCAGGGATCACTGGGTGGCGGACCTGGACGGCTCGGTGACCATCATCTCATCGGCCGCCGCCGGTACCCCGACTCTTGAGGCAGCTCAAAGAGGCCGGGGTTGTGTCGCAGCACGGTTCGGAGAGCTCGCTGTGGTGGGCGTGTACTTCTCTCCGAACCGAACTCTCGCCGAGTTCCACAACTCCTTGATGGAGTTGGTCACAGTCGTCGTCGGGTTCCGTTCCCTCCCCGTGCTCGTCCTCGGGGACTTCAATGCCAAGAATTTGGCTTGGGGTTCCCGGTTCACCGACGTCCGGGGTAGGATGGTGGAAGACTGGGCCCTTGAGGCAGGCCTAGTCGTCTTGAACCGGGGTTCTGTCCCTACGTGCGTGCGGATGCAGGGCGAGTCGGTGGTGGACATTTCGTTCGCCAGCCCTGCTCTGTCACCGCGTATCGTTGACTGGCGTGTCATGGAGGAGGTGGAGACGTACTCCGACCACCGGTATATCCGGTTCAACGTCTCCGCCGAGTCCGCGGATCCGCCGGTCAGACAGGCCCCATGTGGCCCGCGTTGGGCGCTGAAACAGCTGGACCGGGAGCTGCTCCTGGAAGCCGCCATCGTGCAGGCCTGGGTGATACCACCGGTCAGGCCTGCCGACATTGACGATGAGGCCAAGTGGCTCCAGGACGCCATGTCCAGGATCTGTGACGTGGCGATGCCCCGGATCCGGTCGAGGCAACAAAAGCGCCAGGTGTACTGGTGGTCGCAAGGCTGGCAGCTTTACGCAAGGCGTGCACTGCTGCGCGACGCCAGTACACTAGGCACCGCAGGCGCCGTCTCCGTCCTCCAAATGCGGAGGCGAGAGAGGCGGAGTTGTATGAGGGATACAGGGCGGCGAAAGCCGTCCTCAAGGCGGAGATATTGCGGGCCAAGGAGGAGGCCCGCCGGGAGATGCTGGGGACTCTGGATAGAGACCCGTGGGGACGCCCGTACCGCATGGTACGCGACAAGCTTCGCGCTTGGGCTCCCCCGCTCACTCAGAGTCTCCGGCCAGAGGTCGTTGAGGAGGTAATTGGCGCCCTGTTCCCCCGGCTGTGGAGGGGCTTCACCCCTCCGTATATGACTCCGCCCCCTGCGGTGCCCGACGCGGGCTATAGCGACGACGACGACGACATCGTCCCAGAGGTGACCGAGGCAGAACTGAGAGCGGCGGTGCGCCGGATGGGCGCCAAGAACACCGCCCCAGGACCCGACGGCTTGCATGGCAAAGCATGGGTCCTGGCCTCAGAGGCTCTCAGGCCTCGATTAATCGGTCTCTACAGCGCATGCTTGGAGAGAGGCCAGTTCCCGCTGCTCTGGAAAGCGGGAAAACTGGTCCTCGTGCGGAAGACGGGGCGCCCTGCGGACTCTCCGTCCGCGTACCGGCCCATAGTGCTGCTCGACGAGGTGGGGAAAGTCTTCGAAAGAATCATTTCGAACCGCCTCGTCGCGCACCTGACGGATATTGGGCCGGACCTATCGGACGGCCAGTTCGGCTTCCGCAGAGGGCGCTCCACGGTGGACGCCATCATGCGCGTTAGGGACCGGACGACGGGGACTGCAGTGTCCAGGGGTAAGGTCGTAGTGGCGGTGTCTCTGGACATCGCCAACGCCTTCAACTCCCTGCCCTGGAGCTGCATCTTGGAGGCACTCCGATATCATCGGGTGCCTACCTACCTCCGTCGTGTAATCGAGGCATACCTGACGGACAGGTCCGTCATCTACCCCGGTCACCGGGGCGAGTGGAACCGGCGAGAGATGTCACGCGGTGTTCCACAGGGTTCGGTTCTGGGGCCGCTCCTGTGGAACATCGGTTATGACTGGGTGCTGCGCACCGACCTCCCGAACGGCGTTAGCATGATATGCTACGCCGACGACACGCTGGTGCTAGCGCACGGGAGGTCGCACCAGGCGGCGGCCGATTTAATGGCGACAGCGGTTGCGACAGTCGTTGAGAGAATCCGGCAGTTGGGACTCGAGGTGGCGCTCCACAAGTCCGAGGCCATGTGTTTTCATGGCCGCGGGAATGCGCCACCTCCTGGTGGGTCTCAAATAATGGCGGGAGGGGTTACCATCGGCGTCGAGACGGCGATGAAGTACCTGGGACTCGTCCTCGACAGTCGATGGAACTTCGTGGAGCACTTCCGACGTTTGGCTCCAAAGTTGGCGAGGGTGGGGGCTGCGTTTAAGCGCATCCTCCCCAACCTCGGGGGGCCAAACGCCTCCTGCCGGAGGTTATACGCCGGGGTCGTGCGGTCCATGGCCCTCTACGGCGCCCCTGTGTGGGCGCCGAACCTGCTGCAGCGGCCCGCTCGGGCGCTGCTTATGGCACAGAGGGTCATGGCGATCCGAATGATCCGCGGATACCGCACGATCTCTGGGGAGTCGGCGAACCTCCTTGCCGGATTACCGCCGTGGGATCTGGAGGCGAAGGTGCTCGCGCGCGTGTATCGCATGCGCGCGGATGCACGTCGCCGGGGTGAAACTCCGCTGCCGCGCCAGATAAGTGCGTGGCGGGATGAGCTCCGGCGCGATCTCATGGCGGAATGGCAGCAACGACTGTCGCAACCGAGGGCTGGGCTCGCTGCCATTGCAGCGGTAAGTCCCCTCTTTGAGGAGTGGCTTGAGAGACGCTACGGCGTCCTCACCTACCGCCTGACGCAGGTCCTCACCGGACATGGAAGTTTCGGGAGGTACCTGTGTCTGATGGGGCGGGAGGAAACGCCCGGGTGTCATCACTGCGAGGACCGCCCTGAGGACACGGTGGAACACACTGTTGCGGAATGCCCTGCGTGGGCTGAGCACCGCCGTGCCCTCAGGGAAGTGATCGGCGATGGAGACCTCTCGCGTCCGGGCCTAGTTCAGGCCATGATGCGGAGCGAGGGGGACTGGGATGCCGTCTCCTCCTTTTGCGAAGCAGTCATGCTGGCTAAGGAGGAGGCGGGACGCGCGAGGCAGCGAAGCGCTGCCTCCTCGCAACCCAGCCATCGCGAAGGACACACCGGGCGTCGGGGATCGCGGGACGATCTCCGGCCACCGTAAGCGCGGGCCTGCGGACGGCGAGCATGGGTGGCTCCCCGTCCGACCAGAAACAGACCCGAGCGTACGGCGCGTCGCGTTCCGCGCGCGCCTCAAAGAGCCATCAGACCACCACAGATGGGGCCCAATAGGGCCGATGCCGATTCGGAGTCGCGGAGAACCTAACGGGTAACCGGGGCTCCGGCTCGACGTGCAGGAGAAGGAACGGGGTGGTTTTTAGTCAGTAAGAGTCTGACACTCCCTTCCGCCTCACCCAGGCGGGAGCAGTCATTCGATGATTTTCCCCCCTTAAAAAAAAAAAAAGCCATATATAATTTAAAGCATCTAGTAAAATTTATTTTACTACTACTGGATTTTTGCAATGACAATCGATTTTTAGTCAAAGTCAAAGTAAAAGCATTTATTTCAATTAAACCATAATTTGGTACTTTTGTAACGTCAACAAAAACAAAATAAATAATAGTCTGTCAGTCAGTCCGTCAGTGAAGCTAGGTGAAGCTAGGTGCTCATTCCATAATGTAGATTTGAATGGAGAAGAACAAGCAAGAAACTCCAATCGTTATCTTTTTTAAAAAAGTAAACCAATTAGGTATTATTTTAGGTACCAATAGTAGAAGGGGCACTACCATATATTATCTCTAATACAACTTAGACCTGCTGATGGTTCTTCATCAGATTCTTTAGACCTTCAATTTTTGACTTCAAATGAAGCGGCTCACCAAGTTGAATATTTGTTTTGCAAAGGTAGTATGTACGTGTCAATCTCTAATAGATTGGTTAGGCTCTTGTGGTTTCTAACCAGGGTCCAGGTACTGCAGATCTTAAATTATCTAGTTTTCATAGTTTGCCCTTTATGTGGCCATTAAACCCTAGCTCTGTACCAAATTTCAGCCCTCTAAGTTTATGGGAAGTACCAGTTCAATAAGTTTGATGATCATGAGTGAGTGAGTGTCATAAATGCGAAACTTTGCTTTCGTATATCGTATAAATTTGGAAATAAAGACTTGAAATTTTGGATTTTAAGTATGTGATTAATGTGATTATAGTTTATTGGGTAATGAAAATTTCTGCATTCTTATGTTATCCAGAGGTTCTTAAATAAAGGGCCTGAAAATGCGGCTAAATGGTTCTATGTAAGGATGGTGTGGCAGTGTTTGCTTCGCGCTCGACTTGGCGGTTTATTTGGTATTTTCGTATACCTACTTATTGTCTGACTTTATTTCGTACAAATTTTGGGCGAATTCTCTCGTTCTGCTCGACTCTTATTGATGGTAGCGTGATGTTGCAGCTTATAACGTTCCTCGATAGGAACGACACAAAAGTAATTACTCAATTTGGACCAGTAGCTTTCGAGCTTAGCGCGGTCAAACAAACAGTTAAACAAGAAATGTCTTCGACTTTACAGGGTGTATGGCGCATGTTGCAATGTTCCTAAATATTGTTTTTATAAATGATGATAAAAACATGTAACACTAAATAAAAAAGTAAGTAATAATCAATACATAGTATAAAACAAAGTCGCTTTCGCTGTATGTCCGTATGTATGCTTAGATCTTTAAAACTACGCAACGGATTTTGATGCGGTTTTTTTTAATAGATAGAGTGATTCTTAAGGAAGGTTTGTATGTATAATACATATTGCACCCGTGCGAAGCCGGGGCGGGTCGCTAGTAATAAATAAAACAGTTTGTAATAATAATATTTATATGCCCGCAGGGCACCTTGAGGCGAGGTGACGGGCATTAGCGATCCCGCGGGCTACCATCATCCCGAGTGCTCCAGGGAGAAGTCACCGTTCCTTCTTCTCCGGCTTGCCTTAATTGGCTGGCTGGAGTGAACAATGACAAGGAACAGGTCTCCCACCTCTGGCTTGCTTACATTGGCCGTCCAGAGTGGAGTCGCGAGAGCAGTGAACCTGCTCGGAGGGTAAGAAACTATTCGTAAGTCGCGAGTGGGCTAGGGATGCAGGAAGCTTCGGCTGGAGCAGATGATCTGAGTAGAAAGCGGTGGTAGTTTCTTAACCCTTCAGCCACTCACATTCTCGTTGCCCCTCTGTTGCTATATCTAGCAACCATTCCCGGGGCCCGGTCGGTGAGTTGGCGAGTCAAGTTCAAGATTTTTATATTTTTTTTAATTTTAGTAAGTTATTAGTATAATTCGTCAAGCATGTCTTTGTATTGTTCTTACATATGCGTACAGTATTGAAATATGTATCAGAGACATTGTAGAACATACTTTTTTTAAAAAGAGTAACGAATGGAGTTTCTTGCTCGTTCTTCTCCATTCGAATCTACTTTTTGGAATGAGCACCTAGCTTCACCTAGTTTCACTGACGGACTGACTGACAGACTATTATTTATTTTGTATTTGTTGACGTTTCAAAAGTACCAAAGTATGGTTTAATTGAAATAAATGCTTTGACTTTGAGTCTCCGCCTGCCATTTTTACGTGTAAAAATTACATTGTTTCGGCAGGTGCCATAGTCATCCATAGTTCCCAATTTGCCAGTCCACAGCAACCCATTCATAGCCCTACCTTTTTTTTCCATTATTCACAATAGTTCTACACTAACCGGGGACTGTCCTTGGGTGCATTTCCATAGTGCATACAGGGATAGTCCCCGGTTTGTGTCTCCATTACACTTAGATTAAAGTTGTCTAAAGGGCCTCTGCGCAGTTGGCTTCGGCCCCTCGTACGCCTCCCAAATGACCGGGACCCTGTGGTCCCGTGAATGGTAAAGACAAACAAATATTAATATTTGTAATAGCTCACCTGTTGCATAAATATGATGTACACCTTCGTTTAAAGATCCTACCTCGCGTAGGAAATCCGTTATTGCTCTCAAAAAAGGCCGGCTCATACTTGCAAGCTTCCCTGCGCTGATTCGTCTGTTATGTCCAAGAAAGACACATGACACTAGACACATGATTTCAGGTATACAAAGTAAAAATACATTTTAAACCAATTTAAGCATTATACATATAATTATTTTATTACTAGCGTCTGCCAGCGGCTTCCCCGCGTTCTCAGGGGTAAAAAGCCTATGTGTTACTCTACACCAAAACCTCTGTTCCATTTCATCGCGTTCGCTTTTATAATATCGGTTCAAGCTAATTTCAACTATCGGTCCTACAGTTACAGCGTAATGTCTACTGTGGGCAATCAACATTCGACAAACTTATACTTGAGTTTGGCACAGTAACTGTGTCTAGGGATCGAGCCGCACAATTAAGTAGTTTTTTCGTATTTATACTTTTTCGGAACGAAAGTACCCAGGTTGGTGCCGGGATTATAAAGTATAATCAACCAAGTTTCATCGTAATCGAACTGGTAGTTTTTGCGTGATGCGTGAACATACAGACAGAAAGATAGACAAAAAAAAATTTCACATTTTTGGGTTCGGTGTCTATGTAGAGACTATTTCTTTTTTTACATTATCAATGTACAGAATTTGCATTTCTACAGTTTTATTACACATTCAAGGTGTCCCTAAAGTCGACGATCAAATGGCACTAGGTGATCGATAAATATTACCATAACGAAACGAATAAATAAAGTCCAAATAAATTGTTCGAAACGGGGTTATCGTTGAAAAATATTTTGTGTCAAAATTAAGACATAATGTTGTGAGTGGTATACCATTTTAGAATACCTATTAAATCCACCAACTTTGGTGTTTACCACTATTACCGCAGTATCAATTTTTTTCAGTACAGTCACTTAAACTAAGGTGAAAATTTTATTGAGAATTTTTGGTTCATAAGTCATAGTTATTTAAAAACTATATGACTTCGATTTTTTTTTCTGATAACTCTTAGAACCTTGCCGATTACCTGGTGCCATTTGAATAGCGATTTCAGGAACACCCTGTATGTACAGATTAATTATTTTAATTTAATTATTGTGTATGTATGTGACTGGTTTATAGTCTGCTGTAAAACACATGACACTTTTAGCCACAGCAGCACCAGCGGCACCGGATCCTTACACCGGTTAATGATACTCGCTGTAAAATTGTGAAAATGATAAGTATTTATAACTGAAATTAAAAAACATGATCATACTTACTCGTTTAGGTCAGCTACGAAAGCAATAAACAACTCGTTTGCGGGTTGTAACTCCTTCTTGAATATTAGGTTAAATAATTTGTCTATGGAAGCACTGCCGTAGCCAAGGCCGTCTACCGTCATACTACTTTTTATATCATCATATTGGAGCAAGCTTTGTTGTTCTAAAGACAAACAAACATATCACAAAACAACTAATTGATGTGTGTTTTTATAATAACTATCGTGAGACATACTAAATTAACTAAAAATCACGGGTTACTCACGTGAATATACTGAGAAAAGCTCTACTAGTTTCGAACTACAGAGGGGTTCTTCCTTATGAGTAGGGTGCGCGGTCGAAGCAATTTCGCGCAGCCTACTGGCTGGCGTTGGCGCTGGCATCGGTGTTACTACTTGCGCTGCGAGCCCAACGCGCCTTCTGCCTTATACCACGAGCGTTTGCTTCCGACTCCGGCGGCGGCGCGTTGGACGATGTTAAAGCGCACGGTACGTTCACCAGCGGCGCGGGTAGTGAGTTTGATTCCGGGTTCGGCACAAAGTCAGTGTTACATATAACGCTTACTGTGTCACACTCCGGCCGGAGACGCTGTGAATCGACGTAGACTCCAAGCTCGGTTTCCACGGACGTCGGGTAATTTCGATGGCCTATCGCACTTTTCGCGGAACGAAGTATTTTTCTCTCGCTAGTGTGGAGACCTTATCAAACCGTGTGAAGTGAGCCGCATCAGTACCGCAAACATGTTCAGCCAGTGTCGATGCCTGGATATCCATCTTCTTCAAACTAGCTACTAGAAACTAGTAGAGCTTTTCTCAGTATATTCACGTGAGACATCGCAATTTTAGTTAACTAATATATAATTTGTGGTAATTATGTCCAGGAATAATGAAGTGGCACGTCATTCTTCTTTATTTTACATTCTTTAATGCACGATAAACTTATTAGACCCGATTACCTTTTTCGTTTAACCCACGAGATTCTTTATTTATTCCAGATTCACGTTACCTTAGTACCATTAGGGTCTGGAAATATTGAGATCTTTGAGAAAGTAAGTCTTCGGCGCCAATTGTCAAATGAATATCTAATGCAGTTGTTACGACCACGTGAAGCGGAACGAATTCTGAGCAGAATGTGTTATTTTAAGCCGAACCGACGGAACCGTTTTGCCGGCAGTTGGCTATAAACTCTGTCACATTACAAGCAGTCGCGATGCCGGTCCAGACAAGTGTGAACATTATAATGTTACATAGGGTTGGTTGTAAACAGTAGGGAACGCAAACTCTGCCTTTTTAGCAAGAGGAATTTTCGTCTAAAATGGGCAAGATCTCGCGAAATTAACGAGATTACTTACTATAAGATTTCTATTTGATATTAAAAGAGGTAAACCATAATGTGACCCAGACCCGACCCAGACTTCAGAAGACCCAGTGGCCTTACAGTGGCTAAGGAGATTAAATACTAACATTTAGCCAAAGTCAGATTCATATTCAGTGCCCCAAACTAATCAAAGAGTTATGAGTGAATCGCCTGGTAATGGCAGCAGGAAGCAGATCTTAAAGACTTTCAATCGCTGTATGTATTTGATTGGAATTCAAATGGAGTTTAATCACTGAAACCTCATGGGAATAGATACTATACAGGTAAAATCCCTGTGGGATTGTTTATTTTAATGAAATCATGAAAATAAACAACATTTCACAATAAACATAAGTAAATTAATTCTAATGAGATTTGTTACACAGCAATGAAATTAACCTTGGAAAAGACTAATTAAAAAATACAAAATTTGCCAGAAGGGAACAGCTTGTGGTATATAATAATGTGTCATCCAATATGTTGATTTTAGCAAATTTCAGTGTAGTTGTGTTGTGCATTTAATTTTCATTTTTGTATTGTAATGTTACTTTTTACTAATATTGGCTAGAAATAATAAATATAACGACGGGTATAAACTAAAGTGAATTGAAGCGATATTACATATACAAAGAGAGGACTTTGTATCCTCTACGTGTACTTACGTGTAATGTTCGTACCAAAATCTTCTGGGAATGGCCAGTTCGGTGGGTGGGTAGGTACTGTTGTTTCTAAAGTTTTTTCAAATAATTTGGATGTAGTAGAAACTTCAGTCGAATTTTCTGAAAACAGATGAACATAATAATATTATGATTTACTCATAGCTACGAATATAATGGACGGAGGCTTTTTGAATGAATTATTAAAAAAAATTAACCGATAGATACTCCATGAAATCATGACCAACACACCCCATTCTGTTGAGTTGAGTTGAGAAAAGAAGAATAAAGGAAGATTGAAATCGGTACTATTGCTCGCCGAGTTTTACAAGAGCCAGAAAGACTTGACTTTTTATGATACATACAAGTGGCTTTTGCTATTCGAAATCGCGCTTTCTAGTCTCAATACTGACTTTATTTTGAGAGGGGAAAATCATCCAATGACTTCTCCCCTTGGATGAGGCGAGAGTGAATAAAAATCACCCCGTTCCTACTCCTGCTTTTCGAGCCGGAGCCCCGTCAACCCGTTAGGCCTTCGGGCATCAGCCCTACTGGGCCCCATCTGTGATGGTCTGATCTCTCTGAGATGTGCGCGGAACGCGACACTCCGTACGCACCGGTCTGGGTCTGTTCGGGCGGCAAGCTAATCTTGCTCACCCGCACTTACGGTGGCCAGAGGTAGTCGCGCGATCTCCGACACTCGGAGTGTCTCCGGCGACGGCTGGGGCGTGAGGAGGTCCGTTCCCTCACGCACCCTGCTTCCTACTTGACTTGCATGACTGATTCGCAGAAGGAGGAGACGGAATCTCAGTCCTTCTCGCTCCGTACCATGGCCGCGTACTGCGTTGTAATTTAATATTTCCTGACAAACTGTTATAGCGTAGCTTCGACTACGATGTACCAATTTAGTTGTCGTTTGCGAGCGTATGGTGAATTTGGCTGTAAGAAAGTAAGTAGTATCAAGGTAGTTGTTCTAGTGTCCGGGTCTGGCTTCTGGCGCCTGGCTTGCTCACTGTAATATGTAGTTCAGCTTATTTAACTGTGGATACGCTTTGTTTTGTCTTGTGATAGTGATGTGTTGCGTCGTACCAGGTGCAGGCTCATAGAAGTCGTCCCACCAAATGTCTGTGACTGTGTAGTCCATGTAATCTCTTCTTTTGTTATTCAATAGAAGCCTTCGTTCTTTATCTATTTTGCCTTCGATGTCGGCGAGCATGTCATTGACGTGTGATAATGATCTTTGAAGTTGAGCTTTTAGAGGAGCATTTTTTTCTGTAGCTGCAATAATAGTTCTGAGTTTAGTTTCTGACGGCAGTTTAAATTCGATTATGGTTACATATCTACCTGCTGTCTTGAAAAATTCACTAATAGGAGAGGTATGTGCTGACCAGATCAAGAAGTTATGAACAACTTCTTGATCAAAATGGTAAATTAATATCCTGCCAGCTTACCAAGCACGTATGTCATGTGTTTGTTACGGTATATACGCTAATAATATATTGCTGTTGGAGTATTACTGGGCACTGAGTATATTTGGCATTTCGATTTTTAGAGTAACTTTCTTAACGATTGTCCTTTGGCTTATTGTGTGGATACATGGACTAGCAAGTAGGTAGTTAGCCATAACTACCTACTTGCTAGTAACATAACATTACATCACGCATTTTACCCCTGAAGGGGTAGCCAGAGGTATATTATGGCATTTGGAGCCACTACAATGTAACACCCATTTTTCACTATTTATGTTGTGAGTCTTATTTCTTTACCATGTGCCATTGGGCACATTTCCAGACTCCGTGCTACTACTGAGGTTTTTTTAAAAATCCAGTAATAATTTGCTGGATCGACCCAGGAATCGAACCCAAAACCCCTTATCCTTGTTAGTAATAAAATATAATTAGCGTAATATGGATATATTGTAAATAGATACTTCTGTCACATAGCCTGTATATTTTCTCAGTGATGTAAAACTACCGAGTTCCAGGAATAATGATATACATGTTATAGATATAAATATTTATAAATCACTTACATAAATTGACGGATATTCTCAGTAGAGCAAAACTTAAAAATAAAACAAACATTGTAACTTACTCATTGCCAATATAAATACATAAACGCACATTACACTTGGTTACGATCAATAAAATAAATCGAAAGGAATAAAACTACGTAGCTGATTATTATTTAGATTTAAAACCTTGAAGTACACATGCAGGTTCAATATGTTAATAATGTGCAACCTGTACTGCACACAAGTCGGTTAGTGCTCGAGGTACGACGGTACGAGAGTCTGTGTCTCGTATCTTCGGAAACTATTACTTCGTTTCCTATTTGACACAATATAATCATCGGACGTATGATAGTGTGTGTTATATTTGTAATGCATATAAAATATGTTAACACAGCTGTGACTCATACTCAGCTCACGTTTTCTTTTCTGGGATACAACATATTTGTACATTTAGTAGGTTTATATACCAGGATACACAGGAATGGATGATCTTATATTTATAGTAAACGAAACAAAATAAATAGAATGGAAATCTCATTTATTTATATCAAAAATTATTCCGCTACTTACGTAGACCAAGTACATAAATAATTAAGTGACATCTTGACCCTTGTTTGTAACAATAATTGCGTTTAATTATAATATTTTAACCAAAGTCTAACTTCTGGCAATAAAACAAAATTCAATAAATTAAAATGTATGTACCAGTATACGTATTAGGGATGTAGTAGCACTGTTTTGTAGCTAATGTGATTGTATGACATAAATAAAATGATGATGTTAATTTAACTATCGAGAGCATGAAAGAGTTTGCGTTAATAAGGTACGTGTTGCAAAGGTTCTTCTTTTCGAACATTTCATGAATTGTGGAGTCCAAGTATGTGTTGACGACTACAGCGCAGTTGAGGTCAGTGGCCGCGTGTGCTAGAGGTGCGTTCAGTTGGTGCACTATGACCGGGCGCTGCGAGTGACGCTGCAGGGCGGCGGGGGAGGGCGCGGGGTGGGAGGACGCTGCACGCATGTAGACTATCTGGGAACGCAGCGCATGCACGCGCGGGACGTACTGACGAGTGGCCTCGATGCGTCTTAGAGCCGACTCAATCAATGCGCGCGCATACTGAGCTGAATGCGATACGCGACCCAGTAAGTTCCGAACGCAAGCGTCCACTTTCTGCGGCCACGTGCTAAATGCTTGCAAGGCTTCTTCGACTCCAGTAGTGTCACCTTCCGTCATGATGGAGGACATGTGTCTCGCTACTGCATCTTGGAGTTGTTCTTCAGTCTTGTATTCCGCGAGTTGATCCTCTAGTCTCTGCACGAACTCATCAGGTGCGAATCCAAGGCAGTAGACGGTTCCAGTCAAACCTGTAGAGCAATTATGCCATATTACTAACGCTTTTCTTAAACAAGTGTTTATACCCACTTCAATTTTATGCTAGTACAAGTAGAAGGTAAGTAGAAGGACCATTTGGCAAAAGAAAAGACGCATTGTCACTTTTTATGAAAAAAAAAGCAACATACCGGCCGAACGTGTAACCTCCTCCTTTTTTGAAGTCGGTTAATAAGTCGGTAAACGAGTAGACACACACACAAGTGCGTTACCATAGCCTTTTGGATATTGGGAATTTGAGGATTGCTGGGGATTCGGAGAATGAGGAGAGAGGTAATCGGGCCTTTGGTCATAGGAGGAACACATGTGTTGTTTCACGTCCTCGGTTTTCTGTGGGGCCGTGGTATAACTCCGCTCTAGCCGACCCATTCGCACCGAAGCATGGGTCTCCCATACTTCTAACACACTAATTAAAATAATAGACATTTCAGTGGATAAACTGACTATACTTACCATTCTTTTCTAAAATGGCAGCCATTTCTAGTGCAATAAATATTCCACTTTCATATCCAAGGAGGTAAAAGTTGTTCCTAAGTCCCATCTTCTTCAAGAACACCTAAACAAAATATTCATGTTAAGTGTCTGATTCAACATTACCAGAACTAAATAAACGTCTGGAAGTTTTAAATTCACAAAACAGATTATCGTTCAAAATTAAAGATGTGCTAGAAAGCTGTGTAAAGAAAGTGACGTTACTTCAGCAAGTCTTTCGGCGGTTTCTTGTACTGTTTCGTTGGAGAGATCAAGTCCAAGCTGCAGGACGAGCGCCGGCAGCTTGAGTCTCTCGCAGAGCACGCGGAACCTTTCGTAGTGGCCCTCCATGCCAGGGATTATGCACAGGTACGTCTGGTTTGAGTCGAATTCGTCGTCTCTCTGTAATTGACAAATTCAATTAGAGTTAGGAAACTGATGATACCATCCAAATCTTTTAGTTCATTCTGATTAGTAACGCTAAAAAAACAGACCTTTCTGTAACTTTGCTTCTTGAAGCAAATTTAGTTTATTTTAGTGATAATAAAGTTACTTTTTACTAATATTGGCTAGAAATAATAAATATAACGACGGGTATAAACTAAAGTGAATTGAAGCGATATTACATATACAAAGAGAGGACTTTGTATCCTCTACGTGTACTTACGTGTAATGTTCGTACCAAAATCTTCTGGGAATGGCCAGTTCGGTGGGTGGGTAGGTACTGTTGTTTCTAAAGTTTTTTCAAATAATTTGGATGTAGTAGAAACTTCAGTCGAATTTTCTGAAAACAGATGAACATAATAATATTATGATTTACTCATAGCTACGAATATAATGGACGGAGGCTTTTTGAATGAATTATTAAAAAAAATTAACCGATAGATACTCCATGAAATCATGACCAACACACCCCATTCTGTTGAGTTGAGTTGAGAAAAGAAGAATAAAGGAAGATTGAAATCGGTACTATTGCTCGCCGAGTTTTACAAGAGCCAGAAAGACTTGACTTTTTATGATACATACAAGTGGCTTTTGCTATTCGAAATCGCGCTTTCTAGTCTCAATACTGACTTTATTTTGAGAGGGGAAAATCATCCAATGACTTCTCCCGCCTTGGATGAGGCGAGAGTGAATAAAAATCACCCCGTTCCTACTCCTGCTTTTCGAGCCGGAGCCCCGTCAACCCGTTAGGCCTTCGGGCATCAGCCCTACTGGGCCCCATCTGTGATGGTCTGATGGCTCTCTGAGATGTGCGCGGAACGCGACACTCCGTACGCACCGGTCTGGGTCTGTTCGGGCGGCAAGCTAATCTTGCTCACCCGCACTTACGGTGGCCAGAGGTAGTCGCGCGATCTCCGACACTCGGAGTGTCTCCGGCGACGGCTGGGGCGTGAGGAGGTCCGTTCCCTCACGCACCCTGCTTCCTACTTGACTTGCATGACTGATTCGCAGAAGGAGGAGACGGAATCTCAGTCCTTCTCGCTCCGTACCATGGCCGCGTACTGCGTTGTAATTTAATATTTCCTGACAAACTGTTATAGCGTAGCTTCGACTACGATGTACCAATTTAGTTGTCGTTTGCGAGCGTATGGTGAATTTGGCTGTAAGAAAGTAAGTAGTATCAAGGTAGTTGTTCTAGTGTCCGGGTCTGGCTTCTGGCGCCTGGCTTGCTCACTGTAATATGTAGTTCAGCTTATTTAACTGTGGATACGCTTTGTTTTGTCTTGTGATAGTGATGTGTTGCGTCGTACCAGGTGCAGGCTCATAGAAGTCGTCCCACCAAATGTCTGTGACTGTGTAGTCCATGTAATCTCTTCTTTTGTTATTCAATAGAAGCCTTCGTTCTTTATCTATTTTGCCTTCGATGTCGGCGAGCATGTCATTGACGTGTGATAATGATCTTTGAAGTTGAGCTTTTAGAGGAGCATTTTTTTCTGTAGCTGCAATAATAGTTCTGAGTTTAGTTTCTGACGGCAGTTTAAATTCGATTATGGTTACATATCTACCTGCTGTCTTGAAAAATTCACTAATAGGAGAGGTATGTGCTGACCAGATCAAGAAGTTATGAACAACTTCTTGATCAAAATGGTAAATTAATATCCTGCCAGCTTACCAAGCACGTATGTCATGTGTTTGTTACGGTATATACGCTAATAATATATTGCTGTTGGAGTATTACTGGGCACTGAGTATATTTGGCATTTCGATTTTTAGAGTAACTTTCTTAACGATTGTCCTTTGGCTTATTGTGTGGATACATGGACTAGCAAGTAGGTAGTTAGCCATAACTACCTACTTGCTAGTAACATAACATTACATCACGCATTTTACCCCTGAAGGGGTAGCCAGAGGTATATTATGGCATTTGGAGCCACTACAATGTAACACCCATTTTTCACTATTTATGTTGTGAGTCTTATTTCTTTACCATGTGCCATTGGGCACATTTCCAGACTCCGTGCTACTACTGAGGTTTTTTTAAAAATCCAGTAATAATTTGCTGGATCGACCCAGGAATCGAACCCAAAACCCCTTATCCTTGTTAGTAATAAAATATAATTAGCGTAATATGGATATATTGTAAATAGATACTTCTGTCACATAGCCTGTATATTTTCTCAGTGATGTAAAACTACCGAGTTCCAGGAATAATGATATACATGTTATAGATATAAATATTTATAAATCACTTACATAAATTGACGGATATTCTCAGTAGAGCAAAACTTAAAAATAAAACAAACATTGTAACTTACTCATTGCCAATATAAATACATAAACGCACATTACACTTGGTTACGATCAATAAAATAAATCGAAAGGAATAAAACTACGTAGCTGATTATTATTTAGATTTAAAACCTTGAAGTACACATGCAGGTTCAATATGTTAATAATGTGCAACCTGTACTGCACACAAGTCGGTTAGTGCTCGAGGTACGACGGTACGAGAGTCTGTGTCTCGTATCTTCGGAAACTATTACTTCGTTTCCTATTTGACACAATATAATCATCGGACGTATGATAGTGTGTGTTATATTTGTAATGCATATAAAAATATGTTAACACAGCTGTGACTCATACTCAGCTCACGTTTTCTTTTCTGGGATACAACATATTTGTACATTTAGTAGGTTTATATACCAGGATACACAGGAATGGATGATCTTATATTTATAGTAAACGAAACAAAATAAATAGAATGGAAATCTCATTTATTTATATCAACAAATTATTCCGCTACTTACGTAGACCAAGTACATAAATAATTAAGTGACATCTTGACCCTTGTTTGTAACAATAATTGCGTTTAATTATAATATTTTAACCAAAGTCTAACTTCTGGCAATAAAACAAAATTCAATAAATTAAAATGTATGTACCAGTATACGTATTAGGGATGTAGTAGCACTGTTTTGTAGCTAATGTGATTGTATGACATAAATAAAATGATGATTTGTTAATTTAACTATCGAGAGCCATGAAAGAGTTTGCGTTAATAAGGTACGTGTTGCAAAGGTTCTTCTTTTCGAACATTTCATGAATTGTGGAGTCCAAGTATGTGTTGACGACTACAGCGCAGTTGAGGTCAGTGGCCGCGTGTGCTAGAGGTGCGTTCAGTTGGTGCACTATGACCGGGCGCTGCGAGTGACGCTGCAGGGCGGCGGGGGAGGGCGCGGGGTGGGAGGACGCTGCACGCATGTAGACTATCTGGGAACGCAGCGCATGCACGCGCGGGACGTACTGACGAGTGGCCTCGATGCGTCTTAGAGCCGACTCAATCAATGCGCGCGCATACTGAGCTGAATGCGATACGCGACCCAGTAAGTTCCGAACGCAAGCGTCCACTTTCTGCGGCCACGTGCTAAATGCTTGCAAGGCTTCTTCGACTCCAGTAGTGTCACCTTCCGTCATGATGGAGGACATGTGTCTCGCTACTGCATCTTGGAGTTGTTCTTCAGTCTTGTATTCCGCGAGTTGATCCTCTAGTCTCTGCACGAACTCATCAGGTGCGAATCCAAGGCAGTAGACGGTTCCAGTCAAACCTGTAGAGCAATTATGCCATATTACTAACGCTTTTCTTAAACAAGTGTTTATACCCACTTCAATTTTATGCTAGTACAAGTAGAAGGTAAGTAGAAGGACCATTTGGCAAAAGAAAAGACGCATTGTCACTTTTTTATGAAAAAAAAAGCAACATACCGGCCGAACGTGTAACCTCCTCCTTTTTTGAAGTCGGTTAATAAGTCGGTAAACGAGTAGACACACACACAAGTGCGTTACCATAGCCTTTTGGATATTGGGAATTTGAGGATTGCTGGGGATTCGGAGAATGAGGAGAGAGGTAATCGGGCCTTTGGTCATAGGAGGAACACATGTGTTGTTTCACGTCCTCGGTTTTCTGTGGGGCCGTGGTATAACTCCGCTCTAGCCGACCCATTCGCACCGAAGCATGGGTCTCCCATACTTCTAACACACTAATTAAAATAATAGACATTTCAGTGGATAAACTGACTATACTTACCATTCTTTTCTAAAATGGCAGCCATTTCTAGTGCAATAAATATTCCACTTTCATATCCAAGGAGGTAAAAGTTGTTCCTAAGTCCCATCTTCTTCAAGAACACCTAAACAAAATATTCATGTTAAGTGTCTGATTCAACATTACCAGAACTAAATAAACGTCTGGAAGTTTTAAATTCACAAAACAGATTATCGTTCAAAATTAAAGATGTGCTAGAAAGCTGTGTAAAGAAAGTGACGTTACTTCAGCAAGTCTTTCGGCGGTTTCTTGTACTGTTTCGTTGGAGAGATCAAGTCCAAGCTGCAGGACGAGCGCCGGCAGCTTGAGTCTCTCGCAGAGCACGCGGAACCTTTCGTAGTGGCCCTCCATGCCAGGGATTATGCACAGGTACGTCTGGTTTGAGTCGAATTCGTCGTCTCTCTGTAATTGACAAATTCAATTAGAGTTAGGAAACTGATGATACCATCCAAATCTTTTAGTTCATTCTGATTAGTAACGCTAAAAAAACAGACCTTTCTGTAACTTTGCTTCTTGAAGCAAATTTAGTTTATTTTAGTGATAATAAAGCCATTCTCAAATTATGCTTTTGATATCGCCTATCGATAAAAGATGTAAAAATTGGACTAAGACAATTTATGATGACCGCTTCATGACTTACCATAGATGCATCATTTACAAGTGTCGGTAAGAATACGAAGTCAGTTGTCGCCAGAAGTTCGTCCGAGTCTACGTAAGAGAAGAAGGTTGCCAGGCCCTTTTCATCCTTGAATTCCGATTTGGTGATAGCTTTTTCATATCGTTCGAAACTAAAACAAACGTTTTTATTAAATTAATGCTTTTACTTGGCGGAGTTGGTAGAAATATCGTCTAAACAAAGTTAATTTTGTCATTTGATCCTTTTACCTAAATTATCTGAACTGAAACTGTATAAAAGCCAACGATCCAAAAATCCTTATTCTAAAAAATACTTAATTACTTACGCATCCATCGTCAAAGCAAGCAATTCGTTCTCTTCAAAGACCAGGTGGTAGTGAATTCGCAGGTATTTACAGATTCTCGTCAGTCTTTCTGTCTCAATGCCTAATTCTTCAAAAGTTGTTTGTTTGTTGAGGTTCTGGTCAATAGTTACACCTGTGAAATGTAACAGTTTTATAGGTTGTAGTGTTTCTACGTCAACTGTGCATCAAGTCAAGGAAGCCGTGACAAACACTTGAGGAATCGTCATAACACCAGGATGTTATCTAAATATAACTAACCAGCAATAGCAGCGATTTTCTGTAGCAGCGAGACTTGTTGCGCAGGCGCCGTGGTTGCCTGCACGACATTGTGCGAGCCACGCAGTGCCCTCTCCATAGCCTCCGTCGCGCCACGGTACCATGCGCCTTCAGTCACATCCTATCAATAAAAATGTACTACTTGAACAAAATGTAATTATCAAAAGATGTACGTCCTGTACGCATATACATCTTTTGCCTACGTAAGAACCTTTAGAAAATAATAAATGACTTTAGTTTCGTCTAATTAAACTATAGAAACTCACGTCGGTCAATTCAGGTAGCGACACTATGGTAGCCGGCAAGTTGTCCTTCGCACGATGGATACAGACTTCCTTCCCGATTGAATTGTCCCCAGTACTGAGCACTGCGAAGTATCTGTCGAAATGTAAACCATAATCAGAAAACGGAACTGAGATGTAATGGTGACGAGACACATATATAATACAGATTGCATTTCTAGATTCCAAGTAATTAAAAAGTTAAGGAGTTTTTTTTTATATTTGATGGAGATTTCTAAAAATAATATTAAAAGAAATGTCTGATAACTTACTTAATTTCCGGACAAAGTTTCCTGGAGGCCTGATCAAGTATGCTGAGGAATGTTTCATCGAACACGAGTTGCTTGTCACCAACCGTCACGTATACACCCTCCACTGGACCCACCGCCTTGGCTTTGTTCAGTAGTACAATGAGATCATTCTCTTTCTTCAAATCGTCATTACTTACCACAACTTCAACGCCCGACTCTTGCCAAGACCTGGCAAAAGACAAAAATACTTCTCTAAAATCTGAATCTATAATATATTTCTTATTCTCCAATAAACAATCTGATTTTAGAAAGGTTTGGAGAAACAAATTATATAAGGAGGGACCATATTTAAAAAGTGTGGATGAGGGGATAGGGAGTTAAAGAGAGACAGAGAGAGAGAGAGAGAGAATGTGTGTGAGAGAGTTTACCTAATTTTAATCTGGAGGTAGCTGGAGTGTTTCTGGTAATGTACAAAAATCTTCTTAGCCCCACGTTCGACCAGTTTGTCACCAATTTGCAGGCCGAAGGTGTCATCATTGCAAAGTATCAGATGGGTACGGTCAGGGCTGCAGGTGATCCTGGAGAAATAATTGTGACATCGTTATTTATCATCATCATCACTGTTCCCAATTTCTGCTGCATGTAAGCTTCTTTCATAGAGCACCTACCATACTTCCCCTGTGTTTATATTTTACTTACTTATTAAGTGTTTAGCAATTATAATATAAATCTACAACTAAAGGAACGATGAGTCATACCTGGGTTGAGCCTGTAGTGTGGATTCTCCCACCTTTAGCAGTACACGACCGCGGTGCCTACTGGCTGCCACCAGACGGAACGCACTCGGCGCATCTTCTGGAGCATACGTGACGCGGGACAATGGACGCACATAGCCACGACTTATACCTTCACTCAACATGCGTTGCACCAACTGTAACAAATATTTGTTGAATGGTTATATAATCTTATATGTTGATTGAATGAACCTTCATGCGACCCCATGACTGATGCCAAAGACGAAATTAACCACATTATTGAAGTTCCTACTACCTATAAATCTATAAAAAATAACAATTTGGTATAATATATCTACCTTGGTGTCTTCAATATTCGCGGGGTCGTATATGGAGGAGATGTCTACAGCAGCGTAAGCGCGGTCCAAAGTCAAGCTGTACAGTCCATAGGAGAACACATCGTGGTTGTGCAGCTGAGAGGTATCAATAAATGTACCCAGACTTCTGACGCAGTTGATGGAAGACTGGAAAAACAAAAGTAAATGTTCATAGCCTTCTTTGTGTTTAAGAAAATAACACAGTATATATCATCCCTATATAAACAGTTCGATCATTAAGGAAAAAATATGGAGGTTACCTGAAAAGATTTCCGGGATTGATGAAAATGGGTGATTTTGGGAT